TTGTACTGTGCTTTCTGGGAAGAGTAGAATTTCCTTTTATTCAGCTCCACAGTTAAGGGGTCAGGTTGAAGACAAACACCAGGCCACTTCCATCTGGTTTTTGCTGGGGTGGGTGTCACTTGACCACTGCACTGTTGCATGGGCACAGTCTTTGGTTTGGCAGTTTGGTCTTCCCACACTGGATTGTACCATGACTGGCTGTGCTCCCTTAGAGCCTGGTTTATTGACATTCTGCCCAGACTCATAAGTATGAGCTCTTCAGGGCTTACCGGGACCTGTTTTTCTGTCAAGTCCACGAGTATTATTTCAACTGTACTTTCTCTGTGGCACTTTGTAAACACATGGACACCCTGAAATGCCTGTAAACCAAAATGGTATTAAGTTGTGTCATTCATAGTTTTCAAGGCAACTCAAGACCAGAAAGACATCTTTCTACCTCCGTCTAGCCCAGGGTGCATTGTTTTGCTGACTTGGCTATCTTCCAAGGGTGGTAGTATATTTTCAGACTTCTGCTTTTTATGACCTCTCTCTGGGCCCAAGTTTATCAGACATCATCATGAAGAAACCCAGTCGGGGTAGGACCTACAGAGAGTTCTGGGAACTGGCAGTGTCTGCTTCCTCCTCTTTCTCATGTCTAGGGAAGTCGGTGGCATACACAGCTGCTCATTTCTTCTTCTGATAGGATGGTCAGCCCAAAAGAAACCCGGGAACTTTCCATACTTTCTTTCTTGACTGGGTGGTCACCACCACACACTCCTATGAGCCCATGAAGATCAAGAAACCCTTGAGTCAAAGCAGACAGACAGACAGACACACACACACACACACACACACACACACACCCCTTCCCTCTGAACCATAAACTCCCTGAGTGTTGGTTCTGTCTGCAGCATCTGCAGTCTTGTGTCCTCCCCAAGTGCCCATCAGAACAGTTGATACTCATCAAGAGAGCATTACTGGATGTATGAACACAAGTTAAACAAGATGGCAACCCTGTTCTAGAATGGTAGTGCTCCAGTTGGGGATGAAGATGGTGGTCTTTGAAACAGGGTGCTATAGTTTGGATGTCATTTTCCCCCCAGCAGTTCATATGCTGGAGAATTGGTCCGTAGTGTGGAAGTATCAAGAGGTGTTGGGACTTTTAAGAGGTGGGGACTGGAGGAAGGTATTCAGGTCACTGAAGGCATCCCTTTCCAAAAGGATTAATGCTGGTCTCGTAGAACCACTGGATTCCCAGGAAAGCAAGTTGTTCTAAAAGTGCAATACTGGCCCATGAGTCTCACTCCGGCTTCTTACCTTATCATGTGATCTCTCTCACACATGCACCCGCCATGGTGCCATCCACCATGTTGTAATGTATCCAGGGAGACTCTCACCAGAGTTGAGTAGATGTTGCCACCAAGCTTTTCAGAACTGTGAGCTCAATAGAGCTCTTTTCTATATAAAGTACCCTGCCTCAGGCATATTTTTCTTGCAACCCAAAACAGACTACTATCCAGTGTTCGCTGGGTAAGATTCAGATGGGAGGGAGAAGGAAGGGCATGAAGTCCAGGATGCAGAGGTGGGAGAAGTTTGTTTCCCTCTTGTCATGGTTACAGGACACAGTAGAAGACAGAGACCACTCATGCTTACAGAATCTTGGGTCCTTTGCTGACCTCAGGACACCCACTATCATAAGGTGACCAGATCTCAGGAGTGTTTGCAAAGGCAACAGTTTTATTTATAAGACTTTCAATGGACACCTTAAAGATCTGTTGTCAAAGTCAAAACCCAAACCAGCCTCCTGGTTGGCTTGGAAACCGTTTTCATCTTACATTTGATTGCCATTTCAGTTTGGGTCCAAACCATTTGATAGTCAGTGATCAGAATGACCACCCAGGATGAGCGGACAGAGTTGGAATGCAAGTGGACATCTTGGATTAGTGTCCAGCTGTCTGGCCCTAACCCTTAGGACCTGGCTGTGTGACTATGAGCCCAGGAAGGAGGCAGCCACGCCCTGTGGGGGCCCATTCTTGACTTGGTGTTGCAAAGCCCACCTGATGACCTTCCTCTCAGTCTGCTGCTGGGCTGACAATTAGGCTCCTCCTCAGAATCCCCAAGGGAGGCCACAGTGCTTTGCAGAACCACCAGCCAGAAGAAATCCTGGGACCAATAGTGACCACATCATCTCATCCAAGCCATGTATTTAACAGATTAAAACCAACAATGCCAAGGTGAAGGGTGGTACAGTTGTCAATTACAGAAAGGGTAGGAAGAAACCTATGTGGCTGGGTTTGAATTCGGGGCATGAGAATGCACTCCTGGTAAGTATAGTCTCATCAAGAGCTGAGAAGCACTGACACTGCAACTGTGCTTAGCACACCTAATCCTGGAACTTGGTTTCTAAATACCATTTTCCATAAAGAAAATTACAGTTGATTTTAGGTCTTGCCTTGGACCACGTAAGAGGAGACTGGAACACCTGACTTTTCTAGGAAGTAAGGAAGCACCCAGCAATAAATAGGAGCACAAGAGCCCCAGATAGGACTCCTTCTGGACAAATTGGGAGTAACTTGGGCATCCAAAATAGTAATGATAATAATCAATTATAGTACCTTGAATAAAATAAGAATCCAAGAGTCTATTATGACACGTACAGGAGGGGGAGACAGTTTTCTGCACAGAATACCAGGTAATAAATACAGTTTTGGAAAAATCACCACTTTGCAACCACCATTGTACTAATTGATTCAAACCAAGGTTGAAAAGGGATGTTAAACCCACTGGATAAAATTGTGTAGGAACACAGAATACTCAGTGTCACAATATCACCCCACAGATAGCTTGTTCATCACAAAGGGTTAAGTGACTTTTACCAAGGAGAGATATGACAGATGCCACCTTAACCATGAAACCAAACTTGGCATCAGTAGTAGGATCATCTGAGATCTAGTGGGAGTCAACAGAAAACCCTCAACACTGTGTCATATCCTCATCCAAAATGCTTCAGTTGAACCTAAGCTTTAGGAAACAATTGAGTCAATTCTGATTATGGGATTATTCTATAAAGATGACTAGAATGACTTGGTCACAGAATAGTGATAAAAGACATTTCTGGGATAAGTGGGAATGTTTGAACTTGATCTGTAGGCAGGATAATATTGTATTGATGTGACATTTCCTGAAACTTCTGTTGTGGTGTACAAAACTATTCTTGTTCTTTAGAAATACATGTTGAAGGATTTAGGGGGTGATGCATCACAGTTTATTATCCACTGGCAAATAGTTCAGCAAAATAAGAGTGTGTGTTTTTATGTTTAGAGAGAGAGAGGGGACGAAGCAAGTGTGACCCAGATCTATGGGTGTCCATTTGATCCTAGTTCAATTTTTCTTCAGTTTTTAAATGTTTTCAATCTTATAGAAAAAGTGGAAAAAACCCAATCCTATCAATTAAACAGATCTAGAGCAATTGCACAAGTTGCCCAATTAAGTCAGCTGAGCTAAAGACTGCTCTCTGGACCCTAATTGCTTACCCTTCTTCATCCAGAGAAATGGGGAGAGAGGCAGATTTGGAGAGACAGGGAAAGAGAGAGATTGTGGGGGGAGGGGGAGATTGTGGGGGAGACACTTATGAGAGACATTTGGTCCAAAGACCAGAGGGTGAACACTCAGCCTTTCCAAGAGTTGGCGAAGGGAGAGATAAAGACTAGGCACACAGCGCCATCTGGTGGCCAGATCAGGACACCTCTCGGCTGCTGCCAATTTTGGAGGCCAAAGAACCCACATTATTGGTGCCTTTCCCACAGTCCCTGTGGGTTCTTCCATTTTCCCATTTACCAAGCACTAATTTTTGTTTATATTTCTGCTCCTCTAATTTTCCGTTGTAGATTTCCAGCTGCTTTGGAGAAACGAGCCTAAAAGCAGATTTCCTCTCCCCAGAAACTTAACTGAGCCCAAATTCTTTGGTAATTGAGAAAAAAAATCCTGTTCCAATGTATTTAGCCAGATCCTGTTTGCCTTCCATCAACAGCGAACCATGGGGCTTCCTTCTGTGCAGATAAACAAAGGCCATCCAGATGACAAATGCATTTATTTACTCTGAACTTACCACCACTAGGGAGCTGGACGTGTGACAAGGCCGGAAGTGGGTGGGGACACTGTGCAATGGAGCAAAGGTGTTCCAGGATGGGAGGCTGCAGCCCTGGGGAAGCTGGAGGCAGCTCCCTGGGAGCAGGGCACATGGGGTCTTTGGTGAGGGAGTTTAGTTAGCTTTCCCTGGTTGATCCCAAGTTGGGAGCAGGGACAATGATTAGGGGAGCTGTCAGCTATTAGTAAAGTCCTGGCCATTTTGGTCTGATTGTCACAGAAGTTATTGCAGAGCTCACTGGCTTGTTACTAGAGATAGAAGTGTGGCTTCTGCAATGTGACTTAGAGCAGCCTGACTTCCTGGGCTGCTTACTAAAGCTAAGGGGACCGCTTTCCTGGGTAGATTGTTGCAGACTATGAGTCAGAGTTCCATCTTTACTTGTGGTGTGGCCACTGTCCCTTTCCACAAAGCATGGCCTGGCCCAGGGCAGGTGGCCGCAGATACAGGGAAGAGCCATGAAAAGAAGTCAGGAACCCAGATTTTGGTCCTCATTCTTCATCCCTAGTCTGTGAGGGAGTCTTCCACACCTTAGTGGGCCACTGTTGTACACACAGGTGACTCCTGTGTGTGCCCTCCCTGGGACCAGTCTCTTACGGGTTGGCTCTGAGCCCAGCAGCGCCCTCTGGAGGCTGCAGGGTGACTTGCCGGAGCTGTGCACAGATTCCCTGTTGGACGCAGGTGCAGTCAGAAGAGGTGTATCCTTGGTGCTGCCCACCATGGTAGGGGCTAAGCAGGCAAAATGGACAAGGTCCCAGTACCTCAGAGGGACTCAGCTGGGGTGGACACACAGACTTGTGCGTGAATAAGTGCTCCTTCATTCCAAGACCACCTTGGACCTGGACTCACCATACTTTTCCTTTTCCTCCAACACCAGGCACTTCGAGTGAAATGGTCCCATCTCAGGCTGCCCTGGGTGGATCTGGACTGGCTCATAGACATCTCCTACCAGATCACCGAGCTGGATCTTTCTGCCAACTGCCTGGCTTCACTGCCTTCAGTCATCCCCTGGGGCCTCATCAACCTGCGAAAACTGAACCTCTCAGACAACCACCTGGGGGAGCTTCCCTGTGTGCAGTCATCCGATGAGGTCATCTGTTCCAGGTGGGGAAGTGGAGGGGAGCATCTGCCACCACTGTCCTCCTCTACAGGCTCCGTGCTTGCATTTGAAAACAAAGGTCCCTGCTAAATGAAAGAGGGAAGTTCTGTCAGCATTCAGGCAGGGCCTCATTCTTCAGAGGATTTGAGCTGATTGCAAAAGCAAAGGCTCACCAGGTGCAGTGGCTCACAACCGTAATCCCAGCTACTCAGGATCGTAGTATGAGGCCAGTGTTGGCAAAAAGTTAGAGAGACCTCATCTCAACAAACAGTCAGGTGTGGTGATACACATCTACAGTCCCAGCTCTGTGGGAAGCTGTAAGTAGTAGGATTAAGGTCTCCTGATAATTGTTAATCAAATGAATAACAGTCATAGGTGCTACCTTTCCAGTGCACACTGTTTTGCAGAAAGAAAAAGAAAAATACACACCTTGCTTACAGGGAATATATTAAGTGGTTTTTGCTTCTTTTTTCTGATGCCTTGATTTCCTTCTCTCCAACCCCAGGCTACTTGAAGTTGACATTTCCAGCAACAAGCTGTCCCTCCTCCCACCTGGTTTCTTGCACCTGTCAAAACTTCAAAAACTGACAGCTTCGAAAAATTACTTAGAAAAATTGTTTGAAGAAGAAAACAGTAAGTGTTGTCACCAATGGCCTGATGCGTTAGTCCTTTTCCTCTTGGGAGAAATTTTTATAAACAATTCCTACCTTTTCCAATCCCCCAGCCACTAACTGGATCGGCCTGAGGAAGTTGCAGGAACTTGATGTGTCTGACAACAAATTAACAGAACTCCCCGCCCATTTCCTGCACTCCTTCAAATCCCTCAATTATCTGAACGTCTCCAAAAACAACCTGAAGGTGTTTCCAGATCCCTGGGCCTGCCCTTTGGTTTGTATCATACTGACAACCATGAAAGCCACAGACGGGGACCCTATAGATCCCTCTTCCAGATTTCTCTCACTTCATGACCTTGGCAGCCATGCTGGCTGTCAGGATTGGTGCTCTCACGGTGTTGCTTGAGCAGCATTTTCCCGGGCAGGTAATTCACCTGTAAGCCAGCCCACCGGCTCTGGGTTCAAAAGCTGCACCATAATCCCATGGAACTTTCTGCATGGCAGCTTGTGCCCTGACACAGGAAGGTAGTTCTGCCCACAAAATGGGGGGCCCCTCTGTTCTTTTAGGACAACTATACAATGAGAATAAGAAACAATCCGTACTCACAGCTCTGCTGCCTCAATGGTGTTTTTGTTTCTTGGGAATTTGGCTTGTTAACACAGATGGGCTAGCATAAAGAATATTTGTGTTTTATGGCTGTTGGTTTGGAACCAGGAAATTGTTCATTCCTGGCATTAATGTCTCTTGTCTGACCATATGTGTGGGGAAAACTGGCCTCCCTCTAGAGCAGGGTTCTTAATTGTTCCCTTGTATCCAAGGACAATGAGCCGGATATTCTGGAATGAAGAAGGATCCTTGTCTCCCCAGGAAACTCCTTCCCTGCCCCTTGCTTGTAGCAGAGGGCAAGACGAGAGGGACACCTAGAGCGTGTAACCTCTTAACTCCCACTGCGCCATATTTGTTTGTATGGCCCTATTAGAACAGCCTTACTTTTACCATCAAATTTAGAACAGTCTTACAGGCACTGCTGCATTGAAAGAGCGAGTCAGCAGTCATTGTCCTTCTCCTCAAAACTCCTAGAAATTCTGTAAGGCGTCTAAAAACGCCCTGCAGGCTCTGCCAGACAAGATGGCTGTGTTTTGGAAGAATCACCTGAAGGAAGTGGATTTTTCAGAAAATGCTCTAAAGGAAGTCCCCCTGGGGCTTTTTCAACTCGATGTAAGTCTAGCAGCACTTTATTTCTCCTTTTCAGCCTTAGTGAGAAAACCCACTCCATAGTACAGAGGAAGGCATGGGCTTTTCCTGAGCTTCTGACAAATCGGGGGAAAGAGTGAAGGAAAAGTTCAGTTATCAAAAATACCCAAGGTCAGCCCAGCACTGGTGGCATGATCACGTCTGTAATCCTAACTACTTGGGAGGATCAGGAGGATCGTAGTTTGAAGCCAGCCCTGGGCAAATAGTTCATGAGATGCTATCTCAAAAAAAAAAAAAAAGAAAAAAAGGGCTGGAGGAGAGGCTCAAGAGGTAAAGCACCTACCTAGCAGGTGAGGTCCTGAGTTCAAATCCCAGTACTGCCAAGAAAATTTTTTTTAAATCTCCATGGTCAGGAGCAAAGATAGCAGGCTGGGTGTGCATGTGATAGGAGCAGCTGTGTTGGGGGTGGGGGACGGGCTGGTTTCTGTGTGACAGTCAACTTCCTGTTACCGTAGCAAATACCTGAAATGACCAACTTCTAACAAGAAAAGGGTTGTTTGGGCTCACAGTCTTGGAGGATTCAGTTCAAAATCTTGGAGGTTTTAGTCCACAGTTGTTTGGCTTTTGGGCCCGTGGTGACAGGGAGTGTGTGTGGCAGGGCAAAGCTGCTGGCCTTGTGACCAGGACCTGAAAAGAAAGAGGGAGAGGAAGGTGTAGAGTGCCACCGTCCTTTTCAAAGTCACACGCCCAGTGACCTAAGACCTTCTACTCTGCTCTGTCTCTTAACGGTTCCACACCTCCCCGTGGCAGCACAGGCCGATACACGGGCCTTTGGACTCAAGCTAGAGCTTTCCCCAGAACGCGTTTTTGTTTTCAGCACTGAGGATTGAACTCAGGGTCTCATGCTTGCTAGGCAAGCCCTGTACCATTTTGCTTTTAGCTTATTTTTCAAATATGGTCTTGTGCATTTCCCCCAAGCTGGCCTTGAGCCAAGATCCTCCTACCTCTGCCTCCTGAGTAGTCAGGATAGCAAGTGGGAGCCGCTATACCTGGATTTGTTTCTGAGATCTATTGGCTAACTTTTCCTGGGCTGGCTCGAACTGTGATCTTCCTATGTCCAGCTCCCAAGAAACAGGGATTACAGGCATGGGCCACCATACTGGCCCTCCCCCAGGACTTTATTTCATGTTGAAACTTTTAAGCACTGTCCAGCAATTGTTCTACCCTGGTTGTTCCTGGTTCTGTCCCTTCCCCACTCCTGGCTGTCCCACCAAGGTAGAAGCACTATAGGAAGCACTAAGAGAAAGGACTTTCCCAGAGCCCTGTGTGCCTACTCCCAGCACAGGGCTGCACTCTGTTTGAGAGCCATCAGGAGACTGTGAATCAAATTTGTCACTGGAGATGAAGGGCCAGCCCCAGAATGGGAGCTGCTAGATATTTGCTAAAGGCATCAGGACAGCTCCCCACCAGGGTCTTGTGGTAGACACAGAGGCCACACTGTCCAGGCAGGGACCATGCCAGTACCCACAGGCATGTAGCTCATAGCGAGACTGTCTACAAAACTGAAAATCAAAAAGAATCCTTGGTCCTGGGTGCTTGGACCCCTTCCATCCTATGGCCGCCTGTCACTGACTTAGGGAAGGTCTGTTGTTGCCTTGACCTATCTGCTCTGTTGGATACCATTTCAGAAGTTTTAAGAGACTCCAACCCCACCCATTTGGGGTTTCAGCTGCAGTCATCAGACTGTGCTTTGATAGAGGAACTGGCTGACTTTTTTCCTTGACCTCTCCTGTATCTGACACCTTCTTTCCTTTCTCTCCCTCCCTGTCGCAGGCCCTCATGTTCTTGAGGTTACAAGGAAACAAGCTGGTGTCACTGCCACCTCAAGAGAAGTGGACCTGCAGACAGCTCAAGACCCTAGACCTCTCCAAAAACCAGCTTGGCAAGTAAGCCTGGGCTTTTCTCCCTAAATGTGTTATGAACCTGGGGGGATGTCTCCGTATTCCTAGATGTGTGAAAATCCACATTAAGGGGGTCCCTGAGGGTGGTGTCTGTGTCTGGCTGCTGGGGCTACAGTATTGCACTGTGGATGGGACCCCAGTTCTAGAAGATGAAGCCTAAGATTCAGGCTGCAGCAGGTCTGGTTCCTCCCGAGGCCTCTCTGGTTGGCTCATAGAGGTTGACTGATCCATTGTGCCTCTTGTGTCTGCCCTCTGTGTGTGTCTGCGTCCAAATCTCCCCTTCTTAGAAGGATACCAGTCACCCTGGATTAGGGCCACCCTAGTGAAGTCATTTTAACATAATCACCTCTTTAAAAGCCCTACTGGAATATTTGCAATGCATAAGAAGATATGTTTTAGGGATGAGACCCAAGTCTAGACATGAAATTCACCTGTGTTCACATATTGTGAACCTGTGTATATGCTATGTTTCCGTGTCATATTTCATATGCACTTTAGACATACAGCCTGGAGAGTGCCTGGGTTTTGACTTTGAGCTATCCTGAAGTCGTGAAATTTTCCATTAGTAACACTATGTCAGTGCTCACAAGGTTAAGATCTGGGAGCAGTCTGGATTTTAGAGTTTTGGAGGGGGGATACTCAACCTGTACCTCCAAATACAGGCGCATTCTGGGGTCCTGAGGGTTAGAACCTCCACACAGGAATCCCAGAGAACACAATTCAGCTCTTAACAGTGATCTACATTTCTGATTTGTAAAGGCTCCTGGACAATCTTGTCACTCATTTCAGCCCAAACTGGTATTGCTTTGTCAACCACTAACTCACAGATTAGTGGCTGCATAAAAAGTTGGGGGATGAATCCAGCCCCATGTGGTCACTTGCTGAAGGTCTCTTCAGCATCCCACTGGGATGTATCCCCAAAGAGAGCTTCCCGGGGGATGGGGGACAATGTGGCAGCAACCAGAATGTGCCAGGCACAGAAATACTCACACCCACCTCAAGTAGAAAATCCCAAGAACAGAAACTGCCAGTGGTGCCAGGATTGGGTCATCATCACCCTTTCTAAAAACCCTTTCTCTCAAAGTCTCCCGAGCTCCATTGGCTACAGGGAAGCTGCAGGATTTGCAGACACCTGGCGATGGAACTTCCTGCCTTCCCTGTGTTTTTGTGTTATGTAGTCACCATCAAACTAGTAATGATGTCTCTGTCGTGCCATCTCAATTTTGTACTCTTTTTCCCTCCACAGAAATGAAGATGGGCTTAAAACAAAGCGTATCTCCCTTTTCACCACCAGAGGGCGCCAGCGTTCAGGGACCGAGGCAGGTGCGCGCTGGGGTTGGGGAGACCTTGGTGTGGTCAGATGAAGCCTGCGGGGAGCCTTGTTTCCTAGCCACCAAACGGGGAATCGCCTTATGTTGGACGTTCCCTTTCAGTGCCCAGGCATTCTTTTCCCCACAGTTCGGAGGTCAGGGTGCATGCCTGGTCGGGATCTGATGAATCAGGGCTTCCCCAGCAGTCACCTTCCCACTATGTCCTCATACAGTGTCAAGATTAAGACTCCAGACTCTTTCTCCTCTTAGAAGGACATTGATCCCATCACAAGGGCCCCACCTTCATGACCTCACCTAAGCCTGATTGCTTCCTGAAGGCCTCACCTGCCATCACATTAGGAGATGGGGCATCACATATGCATTGAGGGGAGGGCACAATTCAGTCTACGAGGTGGACTGACTTGTCCCAGGTTATGTGGCAGAGCCAGAGTTCAGCGCAGGGCAGTGAGAGTCCAGCCCTGGGGCCAGGGGTCCCATGCTGTTAGTCCTTCCTGCCACACTGTGGCATTCTTATAGTGTCCCCACTATGACCCCACAGCTGAAGCTGTCCTGAGCTTGCAGAAGGGCCTGTGCTCTTCCCCAATATGTCAGAAAAGGACCTTTTCCTAGTGTTTGTGTGCTGGTCATTCAGTAAGGTCAGCTCAGCTTGGATTGTTTCTAGAAGCTCCTCTTCTGTGACATTCAGGGGAAGAGACAGGCCTGCCCCTCATGATAAATAACCAGCCATCCTTTTTAGCCTCAGAGGCAAGACTTCTTTTTCTCTTTATTATATTTTTATTTTGAATCAACACATAGTAATTGTACATATTTGTAGGGTACAGTATGACATTTCAATAATGTATACGATGTATAGCGAGAAGGCCAGAGCAATTGACATTTCTGCCAACTCAGATGGTCATTTCTTTGTTTTGGGAACATTCAAACTCTTCTCTGCTGGCAATTTTGAAACATACAGCTCGTTGTTCCCCATCATTACCCAGCTGTGCTATATCACACCAGACATCACTCCTCACATCCACTGGCACCCCAAACCCTTTGTCTATCCTCTTTTCATCCCTCATACCCACTCCTTTCCCAGGCTTTCCACGTAACCACAGTTCCACTCTCTACTTCTCTGAGATCAACTTTTTGGTCAAAGCCAACAACATTCACAGAAATATCCCTCAAGACAGGAGCCAGTATTTAGGTTGTTTGAAATGTACCATATAATTTCCTTCTTTGGCATGAAGGATGGAAGTTGACAAGTACAGATGACATGAGGTATATTAAGAAATGTTGCAGAGGCCAAGACACGTTAGCAAGACGTGAACTAGTCTCTCTGCCTGTTGCACTTTGCGGTAGGCTGGTGTGCATGTGTGTACATATGATATGCACACCGATCAGTCATATGTGAGTATGTGGGTTTATTTATGATTGAACAAGTAACATGCTGTCAATGGAACAAATAGGAAAATCCGAAAATAGACCTAGGTAAATACAGTCTGCCCACCATGTCTGCGGATTCACATCTGCAGATTCAACCAACCACTGACTGAAAATATTAGAAAAAAATGCATCAGTACTGTGTTACCATTTTTTCTTGTCATTATTCCCTGAACAATATGGTAGGACAAGTTTTACACAGCATTTCTATTATATCAGGAACTCTAAGTCATCTAGAGACACTTGCAAATACATGGATAGACATACAGGCTATGCAAATTTTATATAAGGGACCTGGGCATCTGGAGATTTGGGTATATGTAAGGGTCCTATAACTAATCCCCTACAGATACTGAGGGACAATTGTAGGGATTTAATACATGACATTAAGGTGACACTGTAATTTAGTGGGAAAGGATGTTTTGTTGTTTTCATAAATAGTGTTGGTATAACTTGGTACAATGCTAGACGTCGTACCTTATATCAACAATAAAAATATCCACGTGGATAGTAGGTTTAAGTGACAAGAAAACTAACGGAAACAATGAAGAGGATATATGTGTACTTTGGACACGGGTAAGACCTTTAAAGCTAGCTGGGAAATCCAGAAATCCTTTTTTAAAAGACCAAAACTTTTGGCTTTGTAAAACTTGAAAAGTGTGTTTAGTAAAAGGCACTGAAAACAAAGTCATCATGCAGACAGGCTGGGGAGAGATACTTGTCATAGAAATCCTTGCGACACAGCTAGCACAAGTCTCCGATGCACAAGAATGCTCCCAAATTGATTTCTTCTTGAAAAAAAGACAAACCAATAGTCAAAATTTGGGCAACAAATATAAACAGTCTGGAAAAGTCAGTCCAGATGGCCAGGAGACAGGTAAAAAGATCTTTCTCCATGCTAATATGGAAACATAATTTATGAATTTCATAACTGGTCCTGTCTCCTCCTCCTCCTCCTCCTTCTTCTTTTCTCCTCCTCCTCTTCTTTTTCTCTCCTTCTCCTCCTCCTCCTCCTCTTCTTCTGTCCTCCTACCACTGAGTGCACTCCAGCCCCGCTGGCCCCTTTTAGAGGAAGGCCCTTAGGCTAGGACTCTGGAAATTACGAGCAGGCGCTAACGGGTCCATCACCTAGTGGGACCAGTCATAGCCTTCCAGACAGGAAGGTCAAGACCCACAGTAAAAAGCACCAGAAGCGTGGGTCCACTTTTGGAAATGGCTGTGCTGGGGCCCTCAGGAGCGAGTCTGGGGAGCCCGCTGGGGAAGCCACACCACCTGGAAGGTTCCCTGGCAGAGGTGATCATGGCTTTGGCAGAAGACAAAGGCCTCTTGATGTTTTTCAATTTCATCTGGAGAGTGGAGGCCCATACCTAAGTGAAATGGAGATGGGGGTAGGTAGGGTGTCCGTGAGCCTGTCTCCTCTGTGGGGCTATTCTCTCAGGCCTGTTGACCCTGCGTAAAGAATTATCTAGAAAGGACAAGTTGTTTGCAAGTGGATGGTAAAATTCCAGGGAGATTTGGTACATTCAAGTAGTATATTTATGCAGTGACTTCGTCCAAAAATAATTTGGATGGCTGTTTTTACGGTAAAATCAGCCCAACAGAGTCATAAATAACTTATGAATAAATAATAACAGTTCATAAATACCTCGAGCCATGTTCTCCCCAGCCCAGTTTCCACAGTTTTCGACACTTGGCCAGAGGTCTGTGACAGGTGTCACCTCTGTTTGGAGCACAGGCTCTTTATTCCACCCATCTGTTCCTTAAAGAGGCTTCATAAACACCAGGGCGAAACTTTAAAATTGGAAACTCAGAGGCCAGGTGCTCGAGAATGTTCCCTCTCTGTGGGGAGAAAATGAAGCATTCTTGTGATGGAAGTCCACTCATAAAAATGTGAATTAGAGCCATAATCGTCTCTTCATGGAAGCAAAAAGAAGTCTTTTGACCATCCGCAGAACACGGGCAAGTACAAAAGCCCCCTTTAGAAGTCAGTGGCAACTTTCTACAGTGAGTGGCAGTCCTTGGCAGCCGTTGGGCAAATTTTCTAGGCGTTGATCTTGGTGTTGCACTATCACCTCTTCCAGAATCTTCTCTGAGGTCAAGTTACCCCACTACCGTTAAAGCCAGAGTGAGGGGGCAACCCAGCATGGTTTCATCCCAACAAAAGAATCCAGGCTTCTCTATTGAGAACTGTGGCAGGGCACCCAGGGAGGGGGCTCTGAGACAATGTTTTTCTGGTGAATTCTCTGAGCTCCAGGTGGGCAGCGGGGTGGTGAAAGCTCCACCTCCAGGAGTTCCTTCTCCATGCAAGTGGAGAGAGCGGATTCCCCGTGATTTTCATGGCAATCTCAAATGAGCCTAATTAACGAAGCCACTTGAATACTGAAGAGTTGGCCAGGTTCTCAAAGTGCCATCCTAGGCAACATAAAAACTTACCTCATTTTTTTTTTAATTAAAGAACATTTTTTTTTTTTGTTTTTTTTGGCAGTACTGGGGCTTGAACTCAGGGCCCCCACTTGCTAGGCAGGCACTCTAGCACTTGAGCCACTCCATCAGCCCTTTTTTTGTGATGGATTTTTTTTGAGATAGGGTCTCTCAAACTATTTGCCCGGGGCTGACTTTGAACTGTGATCCTCCTGATCTCTGCCTCCTGAGTTGCTAGGATTATAGGCGTGAGCTGCCTGGCCTTAAAAAGCGTTTTTAATTGAAGAAGTAATATGTGAGTTCAAATATAAACAAAAATTTCAAATAGCACCAGATGGCGTGGGGTGAATATTCAGTCTTCCAAGTGTCTCTCCAGAGACAGGTATGGAATTGCATGTTGCTAACAGTTGTGTTTGAGTAAAATGTATGTATACATACGTGTGGCTGTGTTGTGCGTGCATACTTCCGCACACACATATGCATGGGGCATGTGTGTGTATGTGTATCTGTAAGTATTTTCTAATACACTAATAAGCCTTCTAGCAATCTAGAAGGTTCTGCATCTTGCTTTTTCACTTAATCAATAGCCCTCTTTCTCTGTCACTGTCTCTCTGTCTCTGTCTCTCTTGCAGGGTACTGGGGTTTGAACTCAGGGCCTTGTGCTTGCTAGGCTGACGCTCTACCACTTGAACCATGATCCCAGTCCTTTTTTGTTTTAGTTATTTTTCAAATAGGCTGACCCCTTTATGTCTGGGTCAGCCTGGACCACGATCTTCCTAGTTACACTTTCCATGTAGCTGAGATGACAGACACACACCCAGCTTCTGTTGGTTGAATAGTGCCTCACAAACTGGCCTCAAACTGTGATCCTTCCCATCTCTGCCCCCTGAAGAGCTTGGATTACAGGCGAGAGCCACTGCACCCAGCCAGCAATAGCTCTTAAGTATCACTTCACACCCATTCATGTGACCTGCCACATGTTTTGTACCTAGCCACATATTATTCCATTATTTAACCAGTCCCCTGTGGGCATGTGTCTGTACAGGACAGGTAGGTTGTCCTGACTTTGCTTTTGCAAGCAGTGTGCCACTCGTCCTCATATATTTAGCACATGTGCCTTCAAGGCTGTCTATAGAATTAGAATGGCTAGGTTGGTGAGCTGAGTGTTGTATTCTGGTAAGAGTCCCAAAATGCCCTCTGGAGGGTAAGTCAGTTTACACATCCACCTGACCTCCACGCTGCAATGGTCCAGAATTACTGAAAAAAAAAAAAATAGCCTGCCATTTCTTTGCAGCATGTATGCTAGAATTTCCAGCCTTCCTAAGTGAGACACTGGAAGTCCTTTGTCTGAACGACAACCAGCTGGACACAGTGCCCCCATCAGTTTGCCTGCTGAAGAGCCTGTCAGAGCTCTACTTGGGAAAGTAAGTGTTTGCTGAGGACAAATGCTCCTGGCCTGGCCTGCCCCCTGCCCCCTTAAGTCACCTGGGGAGCAGGCAGCATGAAGCCATCTATTTACCAAGACGCAGTAGTGGGGTTTTCAGAACTGGACATGGTCCAGGAGTCGGGGGAGGGGAAGACACAATGATGCATGTTTCGTTACTTCATGCTGACCATAGTGAGAAGACTCATTCAATCCTCTCTTCTCTCATTTTTTGAGCATTTGCTGCCTCCCGGGGCCTGCCAGGAGTTGTAGGCAGTGGGCAAAAGCTGACGAGCATAAAAATATCACAGTAATGTTAAAGTCACACTGCATTTTTAAGACGAGGAAGAGACCCCCCCCCCTTGATGATAGTGTAATCAGCAGAAGAGGCGGGGAACATTGTAGGAGGGGACCCAGTTCTAAGCTGTGGGGCCTTGCAGAAGACACATCTGCTACTTTCCACCACTGACTGACTGCCCAGGGTGGGGAGGCTTTGAACTTAGTGTGTAAATGAGTCACTCAAATATCAAGCCCAAGGTGTGGGGCTTGGGTGGAGGCCGACTGGCCGCTGCAGGCCACAGAGGCTGATGGGTACTGAGTGTGCATGTGTGTGTGTGCTCATGCATGTGTTCACTCACGGTGACCACGTGCATCTCAGCAACCCAGGCCTCCGAGAGCTGCCCCTGAGCTGGGCCAGCTGGGCAACCTGTGGCAGCTGGACATCGAAGACCTGAGTATCACCAATGTGCCTGCAGAGATCAGAAAAGAAGGTAGGGCTTCTGCAGTCCTGTCTCCACAGCGCCACTCCTTGTCACCTCTGTGGGAAAATAACTCAAGTCTACCCATTAGGACCTTGGGGTGGAAACAGTGGGACCAGCTCCAGCTTCACGGTTTAGGAAAATGTTGTGACGGTGTTCCCAAAGCAATAGTTACAGGGGTCATTATTTTGATCCTGCTAGGATGGTAGGCTGACCATGACCCTCCTAGACAGCACTAGTGCATGACTTTGCACTTCACTTTTGAGGTGACTGAGATCGCCCCTTCCCTCCACCAGATCCAGCCATCATCCTTAACCATCACCTTAGAACACATAGAAACTGTCCGTCCCTTGGTCTCTGAAGAGGGCTGAGCAGTGGCATCCATTCCCCACTTCTGTGATTTTGCACAGGCCCCAAGGCTATGCTGTCTTTCCTGCGTGCCCAGCTGAGGAGAGCGGAGAAGTGCAGACTGGTAAAGATGATTGTCATGGGGCCCCCGCGCCAGGGCAAGTCCACCCTCCTGGAGATCTTACAGACGGGGCGGGCCCCCCAGGTGGCACACAGCGAGACCATCAGGACCACCAAGTGGGAGCTCCAGAGACCAGCAGGTTCTAGAGCCAAGGTCAAGGACGTTCGGCGTGAGAGTCTCCGTGGGTGGCGGTGGGGTGGGGGATACCTTCCTCAGGGGACTGTTCTCCTTTCTCCCCAGACAGCCCAGGGTGTTCTCAGCCTGGTGTGCAGGGCCCCCCAGATGTTGGCAGGGGACTCTGTGTGCTGTTCCAAAGCAGCTCCTGTTAAGGACAGCAAATCAATTGTTTACATGATCTTGTAATTTTTCTGCCGTGATTAAGCTGAGGCCCTGGGCCAGTGGTTCTTAACCCTGGCTGTGCGTTAGGTTCCCTTGGGGGCTTTTAAAGACAGCAATGTTCTGGTTTCACCCTGGCCCCAAAGACTTAGATGGTCTGGGATGGACTCCCCTAGGGCACTCAGTGTTGAGTACCATTACAGGCAGCGAGACACCCCAGCATCTATCTGTCCTCTAACCAGGAGGCTGAGAAACAACTCTAAAATCCACACTCTCACCACTATGATTCCTACTTTCTCCCCAAGTTCTGAAAAGTCCTATTTTACTCTTATTTGAAATGAATCCTTCGCCAAACCTATTTGTGCCCATCTTTTCCAGTCAGTACCAGGCAGGTAGAAATGAGCGTTTTCTTGCTCTTACAACAGAGAAAAGAGCCTCTGGAATCTTGGGGCCACTCCATCGCTGGGATATAGCATGGAGTCATTAGCTCTGACTCTGAGCTCAGGTTAGGAACTCGGCCAGACAATGCCATTCTTATTTGCTGCATTGTGTCTCTTGAGCCATATGGCAACTTAGGGAGCCAATGTACCAAGAGGTTTTCAGTGTAGAAAAATGAGGGGCTGTGTCCAGATGGGGTCTGATTTTTCCTGTGGGCCCCAAGTGTAGTGCCAGTGAGAGATGGGTTTTGCTAATGTTTTTCACATAAAATCAGAGAAATCCAGTTTGAGGAATGACTTAAGTCAAATGAATATTCTAACGTAGACACAAAAACTGGTCTCTTAAGAATGAGTCCTAAGCCAGCACCAGTGGCTCATGCCTGTAATCCTAGCTACTCAGGAGGTAGAGATCAGGAGGATGTGGTTCGAAGCCAGCCTAGGGCAAATTGTTCATGAGACCCTATCTCGAAAAAAACCCTTCACACAAAAGGGCTAGTGGAGTGGCTCAAGGTGGAGGCACTGAGTGCAAGCCCCAGTACCACAAAAAAACAAAAAAATGAGTCCTTGAGGCTGGTGGAGTGGCTCAAGCGCTAGAGTGCCTGCTTAGCAAGCACGAGGACCTGAGTTCAAATCCCAGTGTCATCCCCCCCAAAAAGAATGGTTCTTGGGGCTGCTTAGCAAGTGTGAGGCCCTGAGTTCAAATCCCAGTATCACCAAAAAAAAATGAGTCATTGGGGAGTGCAGCTCAGTGGGAAAGCATGTGCAAAGACCTGGGTTCAGTTCCCAGTACCAAAAACTGAGAATCCAGCCTGTTAGGGTTAGAACAAATACTTAATAGTGGGCCCACCCAGAACACACCAGCGGGGAACCTGGCTGATTCACTCCAAAGGTCCTGCGTTCTGTTTGTCTTTGCCTTTTTACCAATGACTCAACTTTACTTCCTTCCAGCTGATCTTTAGGAAATGATAGGGGCCTGGGAGTAAATTTGTATTTCAGTTTGTCCTGTCCACTTCCTTCTCTGCCATCACTAAATTCCCTCTAGTTCAGATGAAGGACAGTCACCCAAACTAGGTAGGGAGCACTGAGCCCCAAAACTGTGTTAAGGACAGCTGTCCATTTTTGTCGTCGCACAAAGCCAGGTCAGCATGCTGTCTGTGTCTTGGCTGCCTCGTGGAGATGACTCCTTGCTACAGCTCCCTGCAGCCTTGGCTGCTCAAGCCAGCTCTGACCTCACACTTGACAGAGAGATCGCCGTTTACACAACCTTCCCGGCAGGCCCGCAGCTTCTCGGGCTTTTATTCCCACCTCAAGGGAGTTTCCCATCCTTCTTGGTGGGCACTGCCCTCTGACCCACACAAGTTCAGAGGCTGCCTCCTCCATCTGGCCCTTGCGTAGAGGGAGGTTAAACCTCTGTAGAAACCATGACATCACAGCAGCCAGATGGCTCCCAACCATCGGCAGTGAGACAGAGCCGTACCTGCAATGTTCCCAGAAGCCCCTGCTCGGTTAGCAGCAGATACAAGTTCCCAGAAGTCCGCCCTCATACCACTGGGCTCCTTTTCCTAGCCTGGACTACTGTCCCAGGCCGCCCATAACTTTTCCATGTTTGTGTCGGTTGTGTCTTTATCTTTTTTTTTTTCCTTCAGTACTGGCATTTGAACTCAGGGCCTCACACTTTCTAGGCAATCCTGAGCAGCTGGAATTACAGACATGCACCACCACTCCCAACCAAAGTTATCAGTTTTTCTTGATGTGGTTTACTACCCCTCTTAGTCTCTAAAATGCCTCCCTGTTGTGTCTTGTTGCTCAAGTAGGTTGAGTCTATAGAGTTCAATGTTTGGGACATTGGGGGACCTGCCAGCATGGCCACCGTCAACCAGTGCTTCTTCACAGACAAGGCACTATACGTGGTGGTGTGGAACCTGGCACTGGGGGAGGAAGCTGTGGCTAACCTCCAGTTCTGGCTGCTCAACATTGAGGTGAGGAAATGCCCACCCTCCCCTCGCACCCCAGCTCCCAGGACGTCACAGGCATATCACTACTTCTGTGGCACATCCCCTGTTCTGAGACAACGGGGTCGTGTTGAGAAGAAGCACTGTGCATTTTGAGGGGCATTCACAGAGGGCCCCAATATCCTGGTCCTTGCTTGACTTTTGCAGCAGAGCCCTCAAGCTTCTCCTTGCTCTGAGGTTGGGGTGCTCTTGTAATTTTTGTGTTTGCCTTAAGTTTAAGAACCTGCACCCTTGGGTGGAAATGGGGTACAATGCTTACCTCCAAGGCTGTTGGTCTGATGAAGTCCTGTGCCTCGGGGACTCATGGGGTGTCTGAAGGATCAAACGTCCCTCCCCGTGGGCTGAACTCAGCACTCCATGCATGGAGAAGGTTGTGGGGCACCTCAAACACCCCTTGATGCATAATGGGCCCTTGAGGTGACAGGCCACAGTATAGTGACCGAGCAAGAGTCACTAGCACCCCACGGTCAACACACCTGTGCACATGGGGTGCTGTGTCCTTTTGTGGGCTCAGTGGGTGGAGATGGGGCTCAGCTGTGGTGTTCTTTGTCACAGGCCAAGGCTCCGAACGCCGTTGTGCTGGTAGTTGGAACACACCTGGACTTAATCGAAGCCAAATTTCGAGTGGAAAGAATTGCAACCCTGCGTGCCTACGTGCTGGCGCTCTGCCGCTCACCCTCTGGGTCCAGAGCCACTGGCTTCCCAGACATCACCTTCAAACACTTGCAGTGGGTATCCCTCAGCCTCTTGCTCCACCCAGCTTCCCTGTGCTCTGATCACTGATTTGTCTGAGGCTTCTGGGATCTACCTGCAGGGGGGTCCTGGGGCTGGGCTGGGCCCTTCTGGGTAGAGGGAGGCACCCTGGGTAGGGCAGGACCCACTAGGTGACTAGTAAGATAAGGCCTGGAGATGCTCTGCCTCTGCTTCCTTTCTGGGTTTTCTCCCTCTGACACCATGGCCAGTCCTCAGGGACTAAGAGATGTGAGCTCAGTCACATCACAGATCAAGGACAGGTCTGTGGGGCAGGAGGGGAGTCCCAGGCTCTGTGATTGGGGCGGGAATTGGCTGGCGTGGGGAAGGCACAGGTGGGAACAACCACCCTGGGCATGTACTCCACTCACCTGTCACTGGACTGTCATGACAGCCCACATGTTATCTGGGCTATTGCAGCCCATGAAACTGAGGTTTGGTGAATTAAGTGAGGGTCCCCTAATGAGAAGAAAGTGTGTTGCTGTGGCTGGGGTGGTGCCTCTAGGGTTCCCTCACTGGGTGAAGCGCCATAGACGGTGGGGTGGGGGTCAGCCTAGGGGCCTATCAGCCTGGCTCAGAATGCAAGATCGGGCTTTTAGGGGCTCCCGGTGTGCCCTGAGGAAGCCCTGGAGTGTCAACAATTAATAGAACCACTGACTCTGGTCCAGAGCCCTGGGTCTAGCCTGAGTCTAAGCTCCTTCCCAGTTTGCGTCCTTGGTCACCTGTACCTCTGTGCCTGACTTTCCTTCTCTGTAAATGTGACATGTTGGGAGGACAGATGAAAGCGACATATTGTGGTGACAGTGTTGTGCACATAGACCTTTTGCATCATCTTTACTGTCCCAGCATTCGGGACAAACCTGTCAGGGAAACAGAGAAGCTGGTCCTCCAGAGAGGGCTGGTGTGGTGATTAGCGCGGATCTTTTGCCCACAGTGAGATTTCCTGCAAGAGCCTGGAAGGCCTGGAGGGACTGCGACATCTGATCTTTCATGTCACGTGCAACATGAAGGATGTAGGCAGCACCATCGGCTGCCAGCGACTCGCGGGGAGGCTGGTGGGTGCCCCTCACCCTGTTAGACCAGGGGGGTCTGCTTCCCACTAGTGAGGTCTGCACTCCCCTTCCCTTTTCTGTAACACATGTGTGTGCTTGAAGGTCAGCAGTTCCAAGGATGGGAGAGGGATGGAGGGTCCTCTGGTCTCAGGACAGTGGGGGAAGGGTGGGTGTGGGTTGTCCAAACTGGTGGCACACCAGCTTTGGCCCATTTGTCCCCAGATCCCCAGGAGCTACCTGAGCCTGCAGGAGGCTGTGCTGGCAGAGCAGCAGCGTCGCAGTCTGGGTGACGACGTGCAGTACCTGACAGACAAACAGCTGGATCAGCTGGTGGAGCAGACGCCTGCCAATGACATAAAAGACTATGAAGACCTGCAGTCTGGTGGGCTGGTGGGCTGTTCAGGGGTGGGGGAGAAACCCAGCAGACACAGGCATGGGTGACCTGGGGAAGCTGGATAGAGAACCACAGCACTGGCAGAAGAAAAATCACCCTCAAAAATGATTAAAAATTACAAACATGACACTAAATAGACCACAAAAGGGACACTTGTTTGTAATATGAGTAATATGACAGCAGTTACAAAGAGGCTTTGCCCAGCCTGGGTTGGGGACATATGACTGGCATGACTCAGATTTTTCTCAGTCAGTTCTGCACACATCTGTGCATGGCTGGACAAGCACCTCAAGTATTATTTTGGGATCACAAATAAACTTTAGCAAGCAGGTGAATTTGTAAGGATGGAATCTGAGAAAAACTAGGATCACTTGTGGTGGTCCTGTTAACCACCTGCTTTGGATGGTCACAGGTTACATACAAGATGCCACCAGGGAGCCTGAGCTCAGACCACCCTCCTCACCTGGAGGGCCCAGTATGTCAGGAATGTCACTGTCTTCCTAGGAAGAGTTAGGGACTCCTTCTTGGGAATAAGGTCCTACAGAGTCCCTTTGATCCCCTGGTCTAACACTGCTCCCTTCCTTCCTCTTCAACAGCCATCAGCTTCCTCATAGAAACTGGCACACTACTGCACTTCCCAGACACCAGCCATGGCCTGAGGAACCTCTACTTCCTGGACCCCATTTGGTTATCCGAGTGTCTACAGAGGATCTTCAACATTAAGGGCTCCCGGTCAGTGGCCAAAAATGGAGTGATTCGAGCAGAGGACCTCAGGATGCTGCTGGTGGGGACAGGCTTCACGCAGCAGACCGAGGAGCAATATTTCCAGTTCCTGGCCAAGTTTGAAATCGCACTGCCAGTCGCCAATGACAGGTGAGAGGTCACAGCCTGGGCTGTGCAGGTTGCTCTCTGGAGGGAGGAGTTGGGGTCTAGGGCTACTGATGACCTGAAGGACATTTCCAGGGGACTTTGCCACCACCATCACTGCCAACCCCCACTCTGCCGCCCCAGAGACAGGCCAGCACCTGAGCATGACCTGATGCCTAACCTAGGGTAGCAGGACAGTGGGTATGGCTTCCTCCCCTCCCCCATGCTGCCGTGTCCTCCTATGCTATGGGATTCTCTTTTTGAGCAGTTGGAAGAAAGCCATTTATTGAAAAGCTTTAGGGAAATATGCAAGGATAGTATTAAAAATAATTTCGGCCAGGCACTGGTGACTCACACCTGTAATCCTAGCTACTCAGGAGGCAGAGACCAGGAGGATTGCAGTCGGAAGCCAGCCCAGGCAAATAGTTCGTGAGACCCTATCCCAAAATAACACAACATAAAAAGGGGCTGGTGGAGTGGCTAAGTGTGTAGGCCCTGAGTTCAAACCCCAATACCACACACAAAAAAATATTTTTGGAGGGTTCTCCTTGGGGAAGGCGATGACTTGGTTATAAGGTGAACAAAGATAGGTAAGAGATGATGGTGTGTGTGCTGATTCCACAGGTGGGTCTCAAAATGTAGTCTGATTAAGTCACTGGCATAATATCGGCTCTTCCGGGAGGGTGGTTGGCTGTGATTGTCCTGGACAGAGACATTTTGTCAGGCGCTAACCACTGGCCCCTTCTTATGGACTCCTACTGTGTCTGTGACATGCCTGGGTCTCCACAGTCTTACACCACAAATATCAAATTTTCCTTCTTCTTCCCACCTTCCCTTCTGTCTCTGCCCCTGCTCCTTCCCAAGTACCACCTTTGACCAACTCCTTATGACATCAGCCAGTCACCATGCCAGCCCCTGGGGACCCCGGTTGTCCCTCCCTATATTCTGCCGAAACAGCCCCAAGTGGCAGATCTTTGGCTGCTGTGTGGCCTTTTCTATACACAGACCACATCTCCCTTCCCTCCATCCCCCAGTATCCTCCTCAGCTGGCCCCATCCTCTGCACTTGGTCCAAGCTATCAAGTCAACTTGGCTCCTCTGGTGCCATGCAGGAAAATGCCCAGAGTTCCTGCAGAACCTTCCAGAGCCGTAGGCCTGAGTTTTTAATTGCTCACATAGTTCTCAGCTCAGCATGTCTGAGACCCCAGATTTCTCACTTCTGCTGTCTGGTCCCATTGGTCCCGATCTCCACACTGCCTCACTCAGAATTCTTCTCCTGTATCCCTGACAACCACTTCTCACTCCACCTTTCCACTACTTGACCCTACTGCCACCTGTTTTCTGGTCTTTTCCTCATTGAGCCCCTCAAATCTGCTGCTTCTCTTTTTAAATTGAGATAAAGTTTACAGTAGTACTCTCTTCCTTACCAAGGTTGCATATTCCTCAATTTAGGTTATCCACAATCAACAGTAGTCTGCAAATATTAAATGGAAAATTCCAGAAATAAATTCATTCATTTAAAATTGCACACCATTCTCCATAGCATGATGAAATTTTGCACCATCCTGTGCCAGCCCATCTGGGACATGAATTATTCCTTTGTCCAGTGTGTCCCTGTTGTATAAGCTACCCTCCTGCTAGTCACTCAGCAGCCATCTCAGTTACAGGTTAACTGTTGTGACATTGCTTGTGTTCATGTAATTCTTATTTTACTTAGTAATGGCCCAGAGCACAAAAATAGTGATGCCAGATATTCTCTGACAGTATATTGTTGTAATTCTTCTATTTTATTATTAGCTCTTGCTATTAAGCTCTTACTATGCCTAATTCATAAATTAAACCTCATCACAGGTATGTATACATAGGGAAAATACCATATATAGAGTTCAATATTGTCATCTGTGCTGGACCTCCCCTGTGGGTCCTGGAATATATCCTCTGCAAATAAGGGGGTACTACTGTCCTTACAGTAAGATGTACAGATCACAAATGTCCTAAACAATGAGCTCTGGAAACCCATGCAGATAGGTAACCAACTGCCAGATCAAGATAGAGACCATTCCTGTGATCATAGAACATTCCCTCACATTCTCTCATGTCCTTACAGGCCACCCAATGCTTGGATCTCTGTTACCCAAGCCTAGTCTTCCCTGTTCTTGAACTGCATAACCGTAAGGAATTATGGGATATGGTTTCTAATTGATTCTTCCAGCTACACATCGGGTATTGAGGTTCATCCGTGCTGTTGGGTCCAGTTCATTCTTTTTGTTGCTGAGTAGTAGTCTATGGCATGACTTATTTCCCCCATTCATATATGGAGGGACATTCGGGTTGTTTCCCAGTTTTGGGTACTATGAACAATGGTTCTGTGCATAGCCTTAAGTCTTTTTATAGACATGAGCTTCCATTTCTCTCGGGTAAATATGAGAAGCAGAACTATGGGGGCAAAGATGAGTGTAAGTTTCATTTTATGAGAAACTGCCAAACAGTTCCCTCAAGAGTTTGTACTTTCTAGTTATACTTTACCTCTCTGGCAATTCTATGACAATATTCTGTTGTAATTATTCTATTTTATTATTAGTTATTGTTAATCTCATAACAAATGATAGCACTTGTGGCCAGCTGGTGGATGTGAAATTGTATCTCATTGTGGTTTTACTTTGCTTTTTCTTCATGACTAATGAGATTAAGTGCCTTCCATGAGTGTGTACCATTGACATGGTATATTTTCTTTTGTGAAGTGTCTATTCAAGTTTTGTGCCTATTTCATAATTACAGTGTTGACCTTTTTCTTGCTAATCCTTTTTTAAAATTTATTTTTATTGTTGTACTGGGTGGGGATACATTGTGGATTTTATAAAAGATCTTACAATACATCATAGTTGAATTCACCCATCTATCATTCTCCTTTATCCTCCCTTCCCCCATTCCTGGAACAGTTTCAACAGGTCTCATTTTCCATTTTTATACATGTGTGCACAGAATTTGCACCATATTCACCCTCCTTTACCCTTTCCCCATATCCTCCCCCCTCCCACTGATACAACCCCCAAGACAGGGTCTGTTCTACCCTCCTGTTCTCTGATTTTTGTAAAAGAAAGAAAAAAAGTGACATTTTTGCTCATTTAAGATTTGCTTATTCTTTGTATCTTCTAAATGTGACTTCTTTCTCACACACATGATTTTCAGATACTTTCTCCAAGTCCATGTCTTGCTTTTATTTATATGAATGAAATCTTACCTTTTTTTCTTATGTGATTATTACTTTTTGTGTCTTCTGTAGAAATATTTGCTTATATCAAGATCCTGAAGATCTTACTATAGCTTTCTTATAGAAATTTCATAGTTTAGTTCTTACTTCTGGGCCTTATCAAGTTAATTTTTGCATCTGGTGTGAAGTAGGAGGTCAAGATTCACTTTTTTTGTGTTTGCCTAATTATTCTCAAACCATTTTTTGAAAAAGTTTTCTTTTCCCTCCTTGAATTACTTTGGCTCATTTATTAAAAGAAACTCAATCATTTGGGATTCTTTCCAGAATATTTTTTCCTGTTAGCCTGTGTGCCTATCTTTATATGATTAACAAACTCCCCTGGTAAGACTTGAAACCAGATAGTGTTAAACTCTCTGTGTTAGTTTCCTGTAACTGCTATAACAAATGAGCACGAACTTGGTGGCTTAAGACAACACACCTTATTCTCTTACAGTCTGGAGGCCATAAGTCTAAAATCAATTTCACTGGTCCAAAATCAAGGTGTTGGCAGGCCAATGCTCCCTCAGGAGGTTCTAGGTGAGAATCTGTTTCTCTGTCTTTTCCAGCTTCTAGAATTACATTCCTTAGTTTATGACCCCTTCTTCTGTACACATTTGAAATTGTCATGATGTAGTAATAAGTTAACCCTTTTTTCATAATTAAATGTCTCTATTTCTGGTAATATCCTCTTTCTTAAAGTCTATTTTGCCTTATATTAAATACCCACATCAGCTTTTTCTTAAATTCTATCGCCCTCATCCTTCATCCTCTTATCATCTTACCTTGCTATTTAGATTAAAAAATGAGTCTCTTGTTGACAATATATTATCCAATCTGACAGTCTTTGACATTTAATAAGGTTATTTAGTTCATTTACATTTAGTGTGATTCATGATATGGTTAGGTTTAAGCTATTGATCTTGTCATTTATTCTGTATTTGTATCATTTATTTTTGTTGCTTTGTTCATTTTTCCCTGCCTTCTTTTGAGTTAGTGACATATTTATAGTATTTTTATTCCTCTGCTGGCAGTTCTTCTTGGTGTTGTGTCTGGTGGTTATGCTAGGGTTATGCTTGGTTTTGTGTCCTTAACACAACAGTGTAATGGTGTCTGCTTTCTTCCCACTGTCACCTGAGCTACTCCAGGTCAGGACACATCTTCCTAAACAGCTGAGCTGCAAAGTCCTCTACCCTGGGGTGGGATTCCTGAATGGACCACATGGGACTCAGATCCTTGGTTGCACCCAGTACCCAGGTGATACTCTCACCTAAACTGAGGTACTTGGGGCCAGTTCCTGGGTTTGACACTGATAATTGACACAAGGCAGCAGCCAGTATCCCAAGTCCACAGATTTGGTTGAACTATAAAATCAGCTAGATCATTGCCCAAGAGACTTACTATACAGTGGGTTGGAACAAAGAACCAGACTGCCCACATCTGAATCTAGACTACCTTTTTGGTTTTTCTCCCCTTTAAAATGGAGATAAAGCCAGTGCAGCGTCTCAAGCTTATAATCTTAGTCAGTAAGGAGGTGGAGATCAGGAGGATCGCAGTTTGAGGCCAGCTCAGGTGAAAACTAGTGAGACCCCATCTCAACCAATAGCTGGGTGCAGTGCTGTGTGCCTGTCATTCCAGCTGCATGGGGAAGCACAAATAGGAGGATCACAGTCCAGAGGCCCAGCCAGGGTATAAAGCAAGACTGTTATCTCCAAACAAACCACAGCAAAAAGGGCTGGTGAAGTGGCTCAAGCAGTAGAGTACCTGGCTAGCAAGTGTGAAGCACTGAGTTCAAACCCTAATACCACCCAAATAAATAAATAAATAAAATGGGGATAATACTGTAACCTACTAGTATTATAGTTGTAGGGAGGATTAAATTAGATAATACATGCAAAGTACTTCTTATACCTAAGCACTCTGAGGCACCAGATATTAGCAGTACTGTGTTACTGTCTTATGTACTCACAGCCTCAGTACCTGGTTCTGCACAAAGTCATGAATAATGGAGCATTTTCCAACCTCAGCACAGATATATTGGTTCCTGTTACAGTGCCCTAGGTGAGTTCCAGCTCCTTGGGTCATAGCTTCTGTAAGGTCACACATACCCCTTTGAGCATTTGCACTTCTTGCAGGCAGAAGCTCCTAAGCTCTCAGCAGACTCTGGGAAGGGCTTTGCCCCATATGCGTGGATGTCTCAGTGGAGAAGCATGAGCCAGTCCAGCTCCTTGGTGTGGACACCAGGTCCTTCCCAGGGTTCATCAGCCACATGAATAATTCACTCTTCGGTCCAGTCTTGCTCACTCTCTGCTCCCTCCTTGGGATGGCCTTTCCCAACTGCTAACTGCTCTTCAGCCAGGTGTAGCAATCTTCCCAAGGACTCCACCCGCCTTGAGATCTGGCTTCTGCAACAAGTCAGATCTTGACATTCTTCATTTCCATCCAGTCTCTAAGTCATCCCTGCCTAGCTGGGATTACACATCTGTGATCCCAGCACTCAAGAGGCTGAAGCAGGAGGACTGTGAGTTTCAAGCCAATCTAAGCTATGTAGTGAATTCCAGGCTAGCCTGAACTATATAGTAAGACCCTGACTAGATAGATGATAGATAGATAAACAGATGATAGATAGATAGATAGATAGATCGTCCCTGCATTCAAAATTGTCATTGAGCACCTATTCTGTGCGCACACCATGCCATGTACTAGGGCACCTCACCAGGAGCACACCTACAAGGAGTAAGAGCAGCAGGAAGCCACTTCTACCGGGCATAGTTGGCATAAGTGATCACGTAAGAGGTCCAGGCTGAGTTCACTCAGGTTGATGACACAGAAAGAACAGCAGTAAACACTGGAGAGGCCTCCTGTGTGGGGAGGGACTGGGAGCAGATGGATAAATAAGGAATCTTTAGGATTTGACAGGATGGTAGGATGGAGAGGGCTGGGTGGGAGAGAAGCAGCTAGCTGGCTGGGAATGTCCTTTCACCCAAGACTGGAGAGAGCTGGAAGGTGCCTAATGTCTCACCCCATGTGTCCTGTGTCACCTGTCCATCTTCACCAGTGCTGCCAGGCGGGTGTCCTTTCTCTTCCAGGGATGCTCAACACATAGAGCAAGTAGGTCAGGGCTGAGATTTGACCTATGAACTTGAGCCTCCAGGCTGTCATTGAATTTTCCTTATATAGCCATCCCTCTATATCCAGAGGGGATTGGTTCTAGGACTGCACAAGGACACCACAATCCACAGTTGCTCAAATTCCTTACACAAAGTGGTGTAAGGTTTGATACCTATTCACATCCTTCACATACTTTAAAACATCTCTGATGCCTTGTAATCCCTAATACAACACAGCTGCTATGCAGTGCATTGCTATACTGTATTGTTTGGGGAATAATTATAAGGAAAAAAATCTGTATGTGTTTAGTACAGCCACCATTTAAAAAAGTATTTTCATTCTGGGATTAGTTGAATCCATGAATTTGGAACCCATGAAAATGATAAAAAGTTTTAGGGGAGTGTCTTCCAGAAAATTCTAAAGACATCTATTGAACTGAAGTGGATTTATTTTAAGAGGATTAGGATGGCAGAAGGCAGAGCCTTTGTTAGGAAAAGAATCCAGCTTCTGCATCCCTGGGGACTGCCCCTTCGTGTGGCCACCCTGTGTCTGTCCCCTGTCTGCCACCCTCACTCCCACCCCCAACTGTTCCTTCTGCTCACAGCACACAGATCCTGCCAGTTTCCAGACACGCTTTTGGAAAGACCACCCCCCACCAGGTTCAGCCATTTGAAACGACAACAGACACGAACCTTGGTGATCAGCATTTTTACAATGGCCACAAGTGTTCTCATAAAACATCCTCCTTTGCACAGAATAGCCACATTCTAGCTTTTAAGGCAATTGTGTCGTGTCCCTTGGCCAAGAACAACAAACAGCTTTAAAGACCAAAAAAAAGTTACTCTGACCCCAATATCTGCAGTGCCCTTAGAACTGTGCAGCTGTATTTGTTTATACTCCACCAAGCAAAGTCAATGTTAAGTGATCCCCCAACCACACCCCAGCTTGCTGAGGACTCTGATGTGCTGTGTCTGACATTTTTGTGACCACAGATGTCTTCACATCTCTGCTTAGCATCATTCTAGTCTCTCTTAGAAACCTTGATAAGTGTCTTCACTGTGCCTGTGACCATATGGATTCCTATTCTCAGTTTATAAACCACGCTCTCCTTCTAAAAATAGAATCCTGAGGGTCCTACCAGGAGGATGCCCTGCGGCCTGGACCATGTCAGCAGAGGGGCCTCCCTCCCGAGGCCTGGCTGTCAGCAGTGGTCAAGGCCCAGCTGGTCACCAATCCCCGTTATGTGTTTCAGCTACCTCCTGCCTCACCTCCTTCCATCCAAACCTGGGCTGGACACCCACGGCATGAGGCACCCCACGGCCAACACCATCCAGCGAGTGTTTAAGATGAGTTTTGTGCCCGTTGGCTTCTGGCAAAGGTTCATAGCACGGATGCTAATCAGCTTGGCCGAGATGGACCTGCAGGTAACTGCGGTTTCTGCAGGGGGAGGCATGCAGGGCACCTGCAGGTGCACCCTGTGGGAGGGAGCTGTCCTCTGTGCTAGTGGAACCTGGAGATCGTTCTCCTGCTGCCCACCTGGCTTAGATAGACTCTCCCTATTGCTGCAGGGTTTCCAAACATTAGCCCACCTTGTAGCTCACCTGCAGTGCTTGTTCTAACAAGAGCTCAGGTTGCTGGCGCCACCCTTCAGTGGTTCTGGCTCAGTAGGTGTTCACTGACTGACCTGAGAGTTAACTTTTCAAACTATTCTCCAGGGTGTGCCACAGATCACCAAAAGATGGTCCTGTCCCCCTGGCTGTACCCTGGACTCACTTGGGAGGAGGGGATGGTTCTAATGGACACAGACCACCCAAGTCAGAATCTCAGGTGTCAACATCCGGGTATCGGAATGTTTTAAGGCTGTTTAACTTGCTCTGGTAAAAACCAAGAGCCAACCCAAAGACTTAGGTTCTGGGGGTTCAGCTGGTGTTATAGAGCAATGATCTCGCTGTCAGCAGTCATGGAAGAGGAGGACACAGAGTATTTGCCTAGTGTGATGGATCTCTAAGTGGGGTTCCGAGACCCGACTTACCTGGAAATGTAAGAAATACAAATTATTAAGCCCTACTCCAGACCCACTACCTCAAAAACTCCAGAAGAAAACTCAGCTATTTGTTTTCCAAAAGCCCTCCAGGGGACCCCGCCACACTCAGCAGTTGGTGAACCCCTGGATAAGCACTGACTGTGAACCTTCTGACGTGGATCTCTGTCCAAGTTTACTTTTTGCCACATAGAATGCCCTCAGTGATTCTAACTTCTTGGCTCAACGTAGATGTTCTTTGATCTTCCCTTTTTATTAAAATGGAAAGAACAATAAACACCAGAGCCTGAGAATCAATCAGAACTGTGGCAGCCTGTGTTTGCAGAATGGGACATTTTTTAATGATGCCAGGAGCGTGCAGGGGTGAGGGAGAGAGTGCCTGTGCTGACTCTCCTAGGGTTCCATCCTCCCCCTGTCCTGCCTTTGAACTCTGTGTCCTGCTGCATTCTAAGTGGGAGGTCAGTGCGTCCCCAGCATCTGGAGAGGCCAAGCTCTCCAGTGGGGCCCAGATGGGTGCAGAAACAGGCCGCCGTCCCAGCAGCATCCCGCTCCCAAAATTCAGCCTTGTATTGAAATTCAGGAAAAAACAAGAAGTCATTGACTGATGAGAGGTGTTAAAGCTCACGCAGCAGTGGGATACCACTTTTCTCACCTGTCAGATCAGCTAAACGTAGTACCCCGTCCTGGTGATTCCTGACCCTGGTGGTCAGTGTAGATAACAGTCTGTGATTTCAAAACCAGGGGCTTACAGACCTTCAGATCCTTCGAAAGGATCTGAAGTAAGGAAACCATCTAAAACCAGAGAAATCTGTGTGTTTTTGATGTTCATGACTGTGTATCTGAGAGAGCAAAAAGTTGAAACCAACCTAAAATGCCAAGCGAAGGGAATAGTTCAAGAAATGACTAGACTTCATAACTTCAGACAAATGAATTTTAAGTGACTTTGTGTGTGTGTGTGTGTGTGTGTGTGTGCAGTACTGAGGTTTGAACTCAGGGTCTTGCACTTGCTAAGCAAGTGCTCTACCACTTGAGCCACACCCCCTGCCCTTTTTTGCTTTGACTATTTTTCAAGTTTCAAATAGGGTCTTAAGTTTTTGTCCAGGGCCAGCCTCAGACTACGATCCTCCTACTGGTGCCTCCCACATAACTGGGATGACAGCCACAATGCTAGGCTGATTGGTTGAGATGGAGCCTTGCTAACTTTTTTGCCTGGGCTAGCCTGTTCCCTTGATCTTCCTGATCTCTGCTTCTGGTGTATGTGGGATCATAGCTATGAGCCACCATGCCCGGGTTTAAGTGAATTTTTAATGGCATAGGGAAAACAGGGTTTTCGAAGTCTATTTTTTGGTACAAGGGTCTGATCTCCAAGGCCTTGTGTGTGGTAGGCAAGCACAACCTCACTAGCCCCCAGAGCACGGAAACTTAAAATACAAGGTGGACACAGATGTTGTTAACATATATGTAGATAGGGAAAAAGAATCTTGGAATCATAGCTACCAAAATCTTAATGATTTTTCTGCTTAGTGTGAAATTAATCTTTTATTTTTCTCTCACATTTTCTTGTCTTGTAAATATTTTCTAACAGAAAGATTTACTTGTGAAGTCAGGGCTGGAAAAGATTTTTGAAAAGCAAAGGCTATTTCCAGTTGCCTGGAAAATCTGGTACCCTGGAGACTCCTCCAGATTGTGGAGCATTTAATTTGGAAGCAGGGATGAGATGGTGATTTATCAGGATGGGGCCTCCTCAGAGCTCTGCACAGGGTCAGCGTGGAACTCGGAATACTTAAACAGGGTCTTTTCTCTCTGTCTGTCAGCTTTTTGAAAACAGGAAGAATACCAAAAGCAGGAACAGGAAAGTCGCCATTTACAGTTTTACAGGAAACCAGAGAAATCGCTGTAGCACATTCAGAGTGAAAAGAAATCAGACCATCTACTGGCAGGAAGGACTTCTGGTCACTTTTGACGGTGGCTACCTCAGGTGGGAACATCTGAAAGCCCAGCTGTCTGGGGCAGTGTGGTGCCTTGGCCGCCATCCCTGTGTCAGCCCTGCACACATCCTACGCATTTGGTGACCAGAATTCTGGTCCTGAGAGGGCCCATCATGACAGTTGCTAGAATTGTGAGACCCTCCCTTGAAAGTCCCAGAGGTCCCTGTGTCCTTACCATTCCTACACTTCTTCTGCAGAAAAAGAAGGCTGATGTGGTGGCTGCAGCCAGACTTGAGGGAAACAGGCAACCACTGAGCCCAGTGGGGAAAGATGCATCTTCCAGTCTCTTAAGGGGGCAATCAGCTCAGCCCCTGCTCTGAGAAAAGCCCTAGACCCAATCCCACACTCACCCAACAAGATACCCTATTCCTCTTTTGAGAGAAACACAGAGATATAAAGTCATCTCAACAGATTTAATGAATGATCCACACACAAGATTATTTAATATTTGCAGTGAATTCTTTCAAAATAATCTTTTACTCTGTGAGGAAAAGAGGGGGGAGAGGGGGGAGTCACTTTTTGGGGTGCCTGAGTGGGCTAGTCTTTGTGCCTGAAGCTCACAGGTGCCACTTGACAGATGGGAACACCATGGTTCAGGGAATAAAGGAGCTCCCTGGGGGTCACACCTGGGACATCCTTACTGCAAAGTCCTCTGCGGGCCACTTTGCTGAGTTGGGAGGTGTAGAGGAGAGGGGACAAGGACAAGGTAGGTCCTCCAATGGAGGAGCCACCCACCAGTGCTGCAGGTCCCAGGGGCTTGGAGATAGAATAATTACCCCCAGGACCCCTGGGCAGAGTAGCAATGGACTCTTTTTCATTTCTGGGTCGCAGTGTGGAATCTTCTGATGTGAACTGGAAAAAGAAAAAAAGTGGAGGAATTAAAATTGTCTGCCAATCAGAAATAAGGGACTTCTCAGCCATGGCATTCATCACAGATCATGTCAACTCCTTGATCGATCAATGGTTTCCCGGTAAGAGAACATTCTAGAACCAAGTCTATCATGCTTATATTTCTTTATAAATCAGGGTGAGGCTGCTTCTGGTAGGGGTGGAGACAAAAATCCTACCAGGATTCAGCTCAAGAAAGGGGGGGACAGTGTTCTTAATAGTCCTGACTGTAGGGGAGTCCAGCTCTGCTGTGCAGAAGACGTGGGTCCAGACCCCACAAAGAATGAAGCAGGAGTTGGCCTCCTGGCTGTCCGCCCTATTAAGAAGGGAGAGGACTGTGAGTCCCATGGGTGGCCCAAGGACGTGCTCCATGTGAGACTTGCAGGTGTTCACTGTACTCAGCGAAGGCAATGGTCTGAGGTTAGGGGGGAGCTGGGGAGGGGGGAAGGGTGTGGAGGGAGCAACAGCTGCTAAAGAACCTTAGTCTTCTTCTCTGTCCCCACCCCATCCAACCCAGTGGTGATCAAACTGTCCACACGGCGCTTCTCAGACCCTCAGGATTCATTTCTTCATTGACAGTTCACCCAAAGAAAATAGTTTTTGAAGTGAAGCTGCCCAGGTCACCCATTTGTTTTGCTACTGAGGTAGAGGCAAAGCTCCAGAGTGGCCTTCCGGGAGGAGCCTGTGGTGACAATGACAGGGAGGTGAGGTAGATGAGCTCTCTCTCCACCTCTGAAAGCTGGAGGCTGAGCTGGGGAGAGGGCTTGGGGTCCCAGCTCCAACCCCTGCCTGCTCAGGGAAGCCCCCTGCCTCCCAACCAGCCTTCTTACCTGCCCAAGACCCCTGCACCCCAGGAGAGCATCAAGAAATGTGCTGAGGAGCTTGTGGGATACCACTGGGTGCACATTCCAGGCTCTGAAGTCTGGCTTTCTTTAAGGCTTGGGGTTCCTTGTTGGTCAGAAGAGTGACCAACAAGGAAAAATGGCTTTAAAAGGGGTTCAGAGAAAGCCATCGGTGTGTTATTTGGGTGCTCTTGGCCATCCAAGGGGGTTCTCTATACCCATATCAACCCTCTGGGTACTCTGTGAACCTGAACAGGTGGGGAATTTGGCAGATGAGACCAGCAGACAGTCACCTGAGACAGAAAGACTCAGGTAAACACCTGAGACAAGGTGCCCTGGAGCCAGCAGCCAGGAGCACCTCCCAGTGGGAACCAGTGCATGTCAGATGTGCTCAGGAGATACCAGGCATCCACCTCCTGTCCTGCACAAAGCTGGTTGCTGGCCCAGTCCGAGGCCACTTCCACGGGTCTCCTGTCAGAGGCACACAGAAAAGTTATGTCTTCTGCTCAGGGAACCCCATGTCAAATGACTGGCTTCCATAGGATAATTTGAACTCATCACCCCACATTGGATTCTAGAAAGCATCAAAGTAATTTAAAGTCTATGTTTCACAATTTAAAAATGGTTCCTTCCTCACTTGCTAGCTGTGATTGGGTTGTTGGAGTATAACTCAGATCCTGTACCCAGCTATGCAGGTGGGGTCCCTACCCCTCTTGTCACCCCTGCTCCACCAGCTTGCCTGTGGCTCAGAGTCTAGACCCCAGCAATTTTCAGGCACATTCCCACACCTCCCTGTGAAATCTTCCAGGATCAACACTTGTGTTGTCTAAAAAGGCACCTAAGACTGGGCATGGTGGCTCAAGCCTGTAGTTCTAGCCACTCTGGAGGCAGAGATCAGGAGGATTGTAGTTTGAGGCCAGCCTGAACAAAAAAAAAAGTTAGTGAGACCCCATCTCAACCAATGAAAACTGGGTGTGGTGGCATGCATCTGTCATCCCAGCTATGTGGGAAGTGTGAATAGGAAGACTGATGTCCAGGCCAGCCCCAGGCATAAAAACGCAAGACCCTATTTGAAAAAGAGCAAAAGCAAAAAGGGCTGGGGGGTGTGGCTTGAGTGGTAGAGTGCCTGCCTAACAAGGTCAAGGCCCTGAGTTCAAACCCTGTCCAAGTGTGGCATTGGGTTTCAGACTTCTTGGGGTGCAGGGGGCAGACAGAACCCTTGTTGGGAAGGCCCATTAGGCCTGGGGTTGCAAGGTACAGCTCAGATGACCCACCTGCCACCTTTTCATATGAGCTGTCTCCTTTTCTGGCTCCATTTAGCCCTGACGGCCACAGAAAGTGATGGGACCCCACTCATGGAGCAGTACGTGCCCTGCCCAGTCTGTGAGACATCCTGGGCCTACCATGCGGATCCAAGTGAGAAATCAGAGGAAGTGCAGTATTTTGACATGGAAGACTGCGTGCTGACAGCCATTGAACGGGACTTCATCTCCTGCCCCAGACACCCAGATGTCCCTGTACCACTCCAGGAGCTGGTCCCCGAGCTGTTTATGACTGACTTTCCAGCCAGGTATGCTCCCACGCCCCTCCCAGGGCACAGGTGCAGGTCATAGAGCTGTGCCCCTAGCAGTACAGGTGCTGGTCCAACCCAAGGCAGACCCATCCAGGTCACCATGGTGGCCCACTCTTCGGGTGGCAGTAACTGCTTCAGCCATTACTTCTCATCTTAGGTGACCTTTATGTCCCCATCCTAAGCTGCCTGAATGGAACCAGGCCATTGGCTTTGGTTTCTGACAGACCCCACTGGACATCTCACAGGTGAAGCCATCTGGGACCTTGCGCTTTCTTCCCCTGTCATTGCTTTCTTCCTGCCAGCCTCCCCTCCAAGTCCTACCTCTCAGCCAGCTGGGAGAATAGAAGCAAACACAGCCATGCTCTGGTCATCGAGGAAGTGGACACCCCAAACCTACAGGCTCAGTCCCCTACGACTGCAAATTTAGACTCCTCGCCCAACTCTCCTGAGAGTTTATGCTACCTGTACTCATCTAAGATGATAACTGGGGAGACAGTGCTGGAGAAAACAGAAGACGTTTTGTAGTCCCATGGCACAGGAAATGGGCACCAAATCCCAGTCCTCAGGAATCCATTGGAATTCGGACCTAGGACTTGGATATTAGTGGTTCCCAACATTTTTGGAGTTTGTGAAGTCCTGTCACTTTGTCACTCAAAGGCATGCTATATCTGGTTTTTAAAGAAAATTAAACTTGGGTTTTTACTTGGGTAAAGCACTTGCCCTAGCACATGTAAGGCCCTGGCTTCTGTCCTCAGTACTGCAAAAGGAAGGATGGAAGAAGGGAAGTGAGGGAGGGAGAGAGGAATGAAGGAAGGAAGGAAGGAGAGAAGGAAGGAAAGAAGGAAGAGCAGGAAGGAAGGGAAAGGAAGGAAGAGAGGAGAGAGGAAGGAAGGAAGGGAAAGAAAGGAAGGAAGAGGGGAAGAGAGGAAGGAGGAAGGAAGGAGGGAGGGAAGGAAGGAAGGAAGGAACAGAGAGCAAGGAAGGAAGAAGGAAAGAAATTAAACTCTTTGATAAGAATATTTCTATTCTTATTTTTCCAATTGGCTTCAAGTCAATGCAGAGAACTCTGTGAATTTGCAGAATTGGGGGTTCCAAACCATGTGTCTGGAGGGTATCTTGGTGATGGTGCACATACCTAATAAGCACAAGTCCTGGGTTCAATACACAGCTTTGAAAAGAAATAATAATAAATAAAGGAAAAGCTCCCTGCACTGGAGGCCCCTCCCCCAGCTCTTTCTGGCACCCTGAAAGCCTCCCAGATGGACTTGACAACACACTCTTCCTCACAACGCCCCTCACTCCATGAGGTTTTCTGCATTCTCAGGTACCACATTCAGCTTTGCCTACCTACAAATCTAGTTTTTAGAGAATTTCCCATTAAGCACCTCCAAAGGTGTAGAATTTTCATTTATTTGTTGAACTCTGCTACATGTGTGGCTCAGCTTAGACAGCCCCACTGAACAGTTCATGGGCTGTAGAATTAACTCTATGGAATTTGAGAAGCTGGATTGGACTGTCTCTGTTGGTTTGGATCTAATCTCAGACCACAGCATCGTTCTGAAATGAGATTACTTGGCAAGAAAGGGAACCCCAACCACTGAGCAGGATTCACAGTGCAGCAGAGTTGCTCAGGTCCTCAGCGAGGGCCCAACCAAAGTCCCAAAGCATCTCACACCCCCATCTTGGAGTTGGGCAGGCAGAGCTCTGCGCTGTGGCTCCTACAAAAACACACTTCCAGAGCCTGCACAAGTCCTAATGGAAAGACCTGGAAGGATTCCCAGTGCTCCTATGGCTCCCGTGTCCATCCTAGGTAGCTTCCACATTTCCCAAGCAGGTGGTTCTGGTGGGCACTTGGAGAATGGCCGTAGTCCGTCTTCAGCCCGTGGGCTGCAGTGGGCATAGAAGAGGATTCAGTCTTAGAAGTTGCAAAGCCGGTTCAGAAGTGTGGGTCCCTCTGGTAGGGCTGGGAAAATCAGCCTGTGGGCCTGAGGACCAGGATAAGCCTGGATGGCAGGCACCTGGCAGAAGTCACTGATGAAGAACTGAGGTAGACCTTACCAGAACAAGCTGCCTTTCCTCTCCCTCTCTTCTTCCTTTCCTTTTTTATTTTTCTTTCCTTTTTTTTTTTTTGGTTTTTCGTTTGTTTGTTTTCATGGTGCTGGGGTTTGAACTCAGGGCCTACACCTTGAGCCACTCCACCAGCCCTTTGTGTGATGGGTTTTTTTCAGGCACGAGCCACTGGCGCCTGGCCCCTCCCTCCCTTCTCTGCTTCATGCTTTGCCTCTTTACTCCATTGTTTTATAGGAAAAGAGGGTCTCAGAGATAAAAGGCAGGGTTAGCAGATCCTGGTGAGGGCCCAGGGATTGTGGGGGAAGGAAGGGTGCACGCCCAAGAGTCAAAGCTCACAGAGGGCTTGCACTCCTGACCCTTCTGGCCTGGCCTCCATCTGTCCTGCCTTGAAAGCCCTCGGCCTCTGGTCTGTGCAGGCCTGGACTTCCTAGTTGAGAGCCTCCAGGTCCATGGTGGTCTGCAGAGAAAGCCAAGCCTAGGAGCAACTGGCCGTATTCCCAGCAGTCTCTGTTCTCATGAGGGCTAGAACACCCAGACCTGCAGGGTGGCCACAACTCCCTGCCTTTGGGTAAAAATCCTTGTCCTGGATTGTGGAACACTGGGTCCTGCAGCTGGGCAGATCTGCACGGCAGATCTGTCTTTGCCTATACTGTCTTTGCCTAATAAAAAGTAGAGAAGCAACAAACCTAGCAGTAAGTACATGCAAGTGTCTTCAGAGTGGAACTTCCAGCAAGACTCCTGTTCTGTGCCCACCATCTTGAATCTGCCCCTGAGCCAGGTAGCTTCGGCATCTCTCGGCGGTGCCCGAAATGAGCCAGCTTTACAGAGGAGACTGAGGCTTGGCAAGGCTGAGTTGCCCACATTTGCCTAGCATATGACAAAGCCAGAGTTAGCCCAAATGAATCCAAGTGCCCAGATGGCTTTGAACTGTGACCCCTCCTCCATGGGAACAAATGACCCAAGGACCTATCTCACGTGCCCGAGGTCAGTCGCCCACCTGACCCCTGCTTGGTGTGTGTGCAGGCTCTTCCTGGAGAACAGCAGGCTGGAACACAGTGAGGATGAAAACAGTATCCTGGGCCAGGGTGGCAGTGGCACCGTCATCTATCGGGCCCGGTATCAGAGCCAGCCTGTGGCTGTGAAGAGATTCCAGATCAAGAAATTCAAGAATTTTGCAAATGTCCCAGCAGGTAAAGGTGCCCTCACCCAGCACTATTTGTTTTGTTTTGTTTTGTTTTGTTTTGTTTTTTCAGGGCTTCTGTCTAAACTCCGGCCACCTTAGAAAGGCCTGAGGCCACACCTGCACGTGGGTAGAGGAGAGGAAGGTGGACGAGGCCAGCATGGACCCAGGGCAGCTCTGCTTTGTGCTTGGCAGGGGCCAGGCGAGAGGGCCAGGCTGAGCGAGGCTGGAAAGTTGTTCTTAGAGATTACCTGCCAGTCTAGACATGAGTGCTGAGAGTGGGACCATCCTACTCTCTGTCTCTACCTGCTCTGGACCCAGGGCCTGGCACATGGTGAGCAGGCCGTGTGACCTCAGTGGACCCCTTCCCTCAAAGAGCCCTCTGAGCCATGTCTTGTGCAGGCAGGAAAGTGGGCACTCCAGACGGATGAACTGGGACACATCTTCCCCGCCCCCACAAAAAAAGCAACTCCCTCTGTCCACCCAAGAGGTGGCATAGAGCCCCACGCATCATATGTGGTCCGGGATGTTCTCCACCAATAGTGACCCATCACTGTCTTAGTCTTTTCTGCTGCTGACATAGAATACCAAATGCTAGGTCATTTCCAACCATAGAAATTGATTTGGTTCGTGCTTCCTGAAGTTGGGAAGCCTGAGAACCAGGTGCTGGTATCTGGTAAGAGTTTCACACCTCATCATCCCCGTGAGGAAGGTACCAGGGTGAGAGCCAGAGAGCAAGAAGGAGGCCAAACTTGTTTCTATAACAAACCCGCTCCCATGATAACTAACCCATTCTTGAGGTAGCCACATTAATCCATTCATGTGCTCATCAACTCCAATGACCTAATTTGGCTCCCTTATTAGGGTCCATGTTCCAATGATGTTGCATGGAATGAAATTTGTAACCCATGAGCTTTGGGGCATGCATTCAGATCATAATACCAACCAGTGCGGCCCCTCACCCAGCCAGCTAAATTATATTTCTCATTACCCCAGGCTCTGGGAAGGTCATCTTTATGATCTTAAAGCCAATTTATACTTTTGGTAGAAAAATTAGAATCATAGAAAAAATATAAAGAAAATAAAATGGAAAGGAAGTGACAAAATTACATTCGTTTGAAGAGAATGTGGCTTTCTACACAGACTTGGTTGACAAGCGTTAGAGCTTGCTAGACGTGAGCAGAAAATCAGAATTCCACAGCTTTCCCAGACACAGCCGTGACCCATCAGAAAATACCCTCCACAATAGCAGTAAAAAAAATAAGGTATTGCATAATAACCAGTGTGTGCTTTTGTTTAGTTCTCATCTGAATTCCAACAGGGCGTGGTACATATAATTTGACTGCCTGTGAAATATATGTGCAGTGAGAGAGGTCTAAGAGCTGAGAAAATTCAACAATGAAAGGCAAGGGAACGAGGACTGCCCTGCAAGTGTCATGACTTCTGGTGTCTACAGGTGGCAGTTTTTGCACAGGCCTGTGTGGATGCAGGAAGCTGGCACACAGCAGAGGTGATATTGCAGGTCAGAGGAGAAAGGCACCATATTCACTGAGTGGAGATCAGATTTGTTGCTGATCTCACACCGTAATAAAAAATAAATTCTTCATGAGTTAAAGACCCAATGTGGAAAACAAAACCTTGACACTAAAGAACCCAGAGATCTTGCATAATCGGTGCATTTTAATCACCAAGGTTTTCATGCTGTTTGAACTCTCACCTCCGACAGTCCCCAACTTCAACATCTGACCATAGGGAAAGGACAGAAACAGGCCACTAGAGGACAAGGAGAACCTGGCTCCCTCCTTCCTGGTGGCCTCAAGGCCAGCTGATTCTAAGTGGGGAGTCACAGTCTGGAGCAGTGTTCTGACTTCTCCAGCGTCTGGCTCAGGCCTCAGATGGGGGATGAATTTCAAGGTCACAGGCAAAGAGTTAGATATTATTCATTGCTGACTGTAGACCTTTTTCCTCTGGTCTGAGATGACAGTCACAGGCCAGTGGCTGTGGACAGTTTTCTCTCTAGCTGATGGGAGAATGGTGGCTGTTTTCACCTTCAGTGGTTCTAGCTACTTGGTAAGGAATAAGGTGACCGCGGTGACCAAATCCTCAGCCTCCCAGAAGGTGGAGAGGGAGGGGCCTCGTACATTCTGGACATCTCGTGAACCAGGCTCCCGGTGACACACCAGGGATGCAAGAGGAATAAGACATAATGAGAACCCCATGTGGCTACAAGAGCCCTCTGTGGATGGTGAGGGTGGGGACATGTGGCAGTCCTCCATTGAGGAGCCAAGTAGACCATGTTAGCCCTTGAGGAGGGCCTTGGTATCAGCCCACAGTGCCACCCTTCAGGACCAGATACCACCTGGCCTCTCTGATCCAGCCCCTGTATGGCAGCTCTGAGTGTGGCAGGCCCCCTGCCTACCCAGCCTACTCCTGGATCTAACCATCCCTTGTCCTCCCTGGGTGACCAATGGCTGTTGTCCCCCACAGACACCATGCTGAGGCACCTGCGGGCCACAGATGCCATGAAGAACTTCTCAGAATTCCGGCAGGAGGCCAGTATGCTGCACGCCCTGCAGCACCCCTGCATCGTGTCCCTGATTGGCATCAGCATCCACCCGCTCTGCTTCGCCCTGGAGCTCGCCCCGCTGAGCAGTCTCAACACAGTGCTGTCTGAGAATGCTAAAGGTACCCGGCAACCAGAGGACATGCAGCATGGGGCTGCCTGAGGCCAGCAGAGCCCGGAGCTGGCAGTGCAGAGCTCAGGGAAGTCGTGGGCCCAGAGGCCCCCCCCGCTGTCTTGGGTGCAGAAGCAGAGCCATGGGAGGGGGAGGTCTCACAGATCCCAGGACACGCCCAGTCCCAGGGAAAGGCACCTCACCCAGTTCAAACACCAGGTGTAACATTGGCGGGACCCCAAAAGCTCACACTTTGGTGACAGGGAGAACCAGGTTCCAAGTCCTGCTTCCCTCCCATAACCCAGGAAGCTGCTTGATTGACTTGCCTGTAAAAGGAGAGTAATAACAGTCCCCACTGGGAGGGCATCAAAAATGAGGCAGCCCCAGTAAGCCCAAGGGCAGTGGGTAGCGCCCCAAACCCACCATCTTCTCCTCTAACCAGAATGCTCCAGGCTGCCACCATCGTTAAGACTGACACCTGGGGTCAGTTATATCATTTTCTTCTTCAAAGGAATTTAAAGAGAATTCACCTGGAGAAATAAATGACTAAACTCTAGTTACAAAATAAGAGGCAGGGGAGGTGGCTCTCGTCTTTTCTGTCTTTTGACTGGGGAAACAAGGTTGTTAAAAATCATTCACTTCTCCCTCAGTGGAAAAGGTTTTGCTTTTTGTTTTGTTGTGGTATGGAGGATTGAACCCATGGCCTCTTGCTTACTGGGCAAGTGACCTAACCGTTTGTGCCATGCGCCCATCCCTTTTATTTTCACTTTGTTTTTTGAGATGGGATCTCAATACCTTTTTGCTTTGGCCTGCCATAAACTCAAGGTCCACTTACCCACATTGCCCAAGTAGCTGAGATTACAGGTGTGAACCACCATGCCCACCTGAAAAAGAAAATTGTTAATGAAGTTCTTATATCTGAAGTGTACCTGCTTCAGCAGAACTGTAAAGATTTTGAATCCTTTAGTTAAAAACGCTAGTGATTCCAGGCATGACGTACCAAGAAAGGAACTCTAACAACAAACATTTCTAACCTAAACACTATTCCATTTAAGAGGATCATTTTCTGGATGCCCTTCTGACATCCAGAATGGAGAAGAGTGAGGATGTATCCATTCAATGTAAACTGTTAGTCTCCTTCCATCACTATGACAAAATACATGAGCTAAACAACTTATAAGAAAGAAAGGTTTATTTAGGTTTGTGGTTTCAGAGATTTAAGTCTATGGTCACTTGGCCCTGTTGCTTTGGGTCTGTGGTGGCACAGTAAGTCATGGAGGGAGCCTGGAAGAGAAATCTACTCATGTCATAGCAACCAGGAAGCAAAAAGAGACAGAGGAGGACTGGGGTCCCCAAATTCCCTTCAAGATAACACCCCAATGACCTAACTTCCTTCTCCTAGGCTCCACCTCTTAAAGATCCCACCATTTCCCTCTAACAACCCAGCCTGGGGATAAGACTTTAATACATTGGGCCTCCATATCAGGGAAGAATGGAAGACAATTGCTATAATGCTGATTGAATTCTATCAAAATTGATGAATTTGAACATGGCTATTTTTTTTTTTGCAAGATTCCTCCTTTATGCCCCTGGGACACATGCTCACCCAAAAAATAGCCTACCAGATTGCCTCAGGCCTGGCCTACCTGCACAAGAAGAATGTCATCTTCTGCGACCTGAAGTCGGACAACATCCTGGTATGGTCCCTAGACGTCAAGGAGCACATCAACATCAAACTGTCTGACTACGGCATCTCGCGGCAGTCCTTTCACGAGGGTGCCCTGGGTGTGGAGGGCACTCCCGGCTACCAGGCCCCGGAGATCAGACCTCGCATTGTGTATGATGAGAAGGTACCTGCCCGGCTCACTGCTGCCCCCCAGATCAGCCTTGCAAAGCAGAAACCCTGGGCCTTTCTGAAGCCAGCTAAGCCATCCTGGCAGCACCTGGGGCTTCTGAGTTCAAACTCATTCCCACTCCCAGCATGCTTTTTTCTCTTCTATGCTCAATGAGGAAGGTTCTGTCTTGAACCAGAAGGGCTTGGGAGACTATGTCTGTCTGCTTGTGACAAGGTTGACTTCTCTTTAGTTTTAGAATTCTCAAACTGAATTCACAAACATTATGGAAGCTGTAAACTGTGACAAACAGTCCAAGACAGGAATGGGTATTTCCTGTATTTGGGTCCCAACTATGACATTTGATGGACCAAATGGGAACAGAGGACCACCCTTGCAGGATGCAAGAAGAGTAGACAGAATAAAGATGGCAGAAACTCCTGTCCCATGGGTGTTGACCACTCATGATGGCCAAATTAAAAGTCCTGGCAGGACAAGGGTGGTCTCCCCAGGCAACTGGACAGCCAGACTGGGTTTAGACGTTGGCTATGTGTTTCTCTTTTTCCCTCTTAGCTGCTTGGTGAGTGCAGGCACACAAACAACTTGAAATCATCTCACAATGTGTATGTTGCACTTAGTGCCAGCCTTGTTCATTGATCACCCAGGGTTAAAATTCCCCTTATCTATTATTTCTTGCTATTGGGTGGTATTCAGATGGGTCATTGACTAATTGATTGAAAATGACCTTAGCATGTGTGGGTTAACTCAGCACCTATGACTGTTACCCAAGATGGAAAAGGAAAATCAGAGCAATACAAATAAGAACTTCTTAATAGCACATGGCTCAGATAAGGTGTTCACCCAGAAACTAAGATTATTCACCCTGCCAAATCTATCTCACCATTCTCCTGCCAGAATGTTGTTTGTTGACCTTTATAGGGGCCTGCATAATTCCTTCCTTCTGGGCCTTTTTATGGCAATTAAAATAAGAAGAGATAAGGGTTGCTATCTAGGATACACTCCTTTTTTTTATGAGTTTCATATTCAACTCCTCTAGTGTCAAGTCTGTTAAGCTGAGGGTCTTGGTGTCCTTGGAGCTCTTAATCAGTGCCTTATGGTTAGCAAGCTCTCAGTGTGTACTTATTGGGTGGATGGATAGATGGATGGATGGAAGGACAGATGGGAGGATGGATGATGGATGGATGGATGGATGGATGGGAGGACAGATGGAAGGATGGATGATGGATGGATGAATGGATGGATGGGAGAATGGAAAGATGGAAGGAAAGAAGATTATAAAATGGATGGACAACTAGACAGAAGGACAGGTGATCAGAAGGATGGGTAGGCAGATAGATGGGAGAATGGATGGATAAATGGGCAGGTGATCAGATGGTTGGTTGGCTAATGAGACAGATGGAGATGGATAGATTAATGGTGGATTGATGATGGTCTCCCTTGGGGCAGGGTCCATGCTTTCCTTATCCAGTTGTGTCTCCTTGTTCCCTCCACCTCAGGGTCAGCTTGTTAAAGCCACTGGGCCCAAGCAGGGGCCCTGACTTGGCTTGCCTTTCTGCCCAGGTAGATATGTTCTCCTATGGAATGGTGCTCTACGAGTTGCTGTCAGGACAGCGTCCTGCATTGGGCCACCACCAGCTTCAGATTGCCAAGAAGCTGTCCAAGGGCATCCGCCCGGTTCTGGGGCAGCCAGAGGAAGTTCAGTTCCATCGGCTACAGGCACTCATGATGGAGTGCTGGGACACAAAGCCAGAGAAGGTACTGGGGGCACAGAGCTGGGTCCTGGGCCCTACTTCCTTTGATGGAGGCTGTGTGTCTCCAGAGCTAGTACATGGGGAGATGGGGAGGGGGTAGCCCACCTGCCATTCACTAAGAACAACTGGTTGACCTTCTCTGCTTGCCTCTTCTAGACAGATATTTATCGCCCCTAACATAGCCAGTCTCATTTTCTGTGTGTCACTTCATCATGCAGGCAAAGTAAAGGTTGGGTATCCCTTATGCCTGGGAAATGCTTGAAACCAGAAGAATTTCAGATTTTGGAGCATTTCAGATTTTGGAATATTTTCATAGACTTTATTAGTTGAACATTCTGAAAAGCCAAAACCTTAAATGCTCTGAAATCCAAAACTTTTGGATATCAATCCCTTTATAGTACTAGAGTCCCTGGGCAAGAGCAGAAAGAGTGTAAGTACCTCTTTGTAAGGCAAAGAGGGAAAGGGTTGCTCATAAAAAAAAGGATGGAATCATCTGCTAAAGCTAGTTCATTGTTCGTGTGGGAGAGGCCCATTGTTTCAAGATTAAAACTCATTTAAAATAAGATAAAGCTAGGTTAATGTATTGGGAGTAAAATCCTTAACAAAGTGGGTATCCTCGGGCTTGGGGTGGAGTACTTGGGGTGTGAACTAACCTGATCCACTGAGCTCAAATCACCATGGCTAGCAATGACACAGAGGCCTAAGTGAGGTTGTGTCTTGTGTCTGAAGTCCTGTCAGCCTCTCGTTAGGATCTGGTCCTTAGTGAGCAAATCCCCTGCATGTCCCCCTGGTTTGAGACAGCTGGGCCCAGGTGTAGAGTTGGCACAGATTTGCTTAGCCCGGCCACCTGTCTCCCACAGCGCCCACTGGCCCTGTCTGTGGTGAGCCAGATGAAGGACCCAACCTTCGCCACTTTCATGTACCTGCTGCCCTGTGGGAAGCAGACGGCCTTCTTCTCATCACAGGGCCAGGAGTACACCGTGGTGTTCTGGGATGGAAAAGAGGACTCCAGGTAACACGATGCCTGCCTTACACTGCTTGTACCTGGAGAGGGATACAGGGACAGAAAAATCAGTGATGACCATGATGAGCATTGCTGGGTGGACAGTGGGCTCCAAAGTCTGGTTAGGGTCTATTCACAAGAGCAGGAAGAGAGGAAATTGAGTCAGCACACACACTTTTGTCGTTAAGAGAAGCAAAGAATAGAAAGGGCTGGTCTGTGCTTGGGGTGTTGGCTCAAGTCAAGGGAGGGTTTTGCTTGGAGATGAAGCTGTTTGCAGACTAATCACGCAGGGCTTAAGTGATGCTGGGGGTGGAAGGGTGGGCAGTGACTGGAGTGACATGGGTGCACATGCTGGGCTGGGGAGACCCAAAGCACACGAGAGGTCACCCTGCGATCAGAAGCTATGGGTAGTCCCTTCTAGTTGCAGGTCTTTTTCTTGGTGAAGTAGCAGGAAGGATGAGAGAGTGGCAGAGGTTGGGAATATTCTAGAAGAATGTACAAGGCACAAAATGGGCACTGTGGTGTGGGGAAGCACGGAGTGGCTGCAGGGCTACACTGAGGCCCACTCCAGGCTGAGACCAACCAGCCTGGTCATGTGACTCTCCAGTGTGTTCTGCTATCCCATGCTGCAGAAGGTCCCACAAGGTTTTAAGCAGTCCAGTTTAACCAGGAGGGAGATAGGACACAGGAGTTGAGGGTGTTTTCAAAGAAGTGATTATAGACAAGGGCCCTGGAACCTAAGTGAGGCCAGGAAATGGGGAGAATTAAGGGAAAACACCAAAGGGTTACAATCTTGGTAGAGTCAGGAAGATCCATGGTTACTTCACAAGGTGGGGAAAGAGGAAAAGCTGGGAGGTAGTGGTCATGCATGGCAGGGAGGGAATAGCAAAGGGGTGGGTGCAAAGTGCACCCTTGGGTGGGGGTGGCTGGGGCAGGTTGGAGAGTGAACAGCAGGTCCTCGAATGCAGAGGTCAGAGAATGAAAGAGACAGTGCCGAGGAGTCACCATCGTGTGTGAGGTAGAACCCACAGGGTGTGTTGCTCTTCTGCCTCTTGGTGTGAGGGCTTTCTGGGCAAGAATAATCTTCAGGTGAGCCAAGTGGCAAACATTTACAGGTTCTAAAATTAGGAGAGGGTCTGTAAAGTGAAGCTTGAGTAGTGATGAGGTAGATGGAATAGACTTTATGGGGTCCCTCAGGCTAGGCTGGGTGAGCTTCACATCAGAGTTTACAGCCCTAGAACTGAGGATTGTCACTCAGACACACTCTGAGAGGTGATACCCCAAGGGAAGAAGCTACTCTAAAACTCAGAGATCACCTGGCCCTCCCTGGTGGGACGATCTGCAAGAATTAAGCCAAATCAAATATATAGTTGACTACAGTATCCATGCATTCTGCACCTGTAGACTCAACCAACTGCTGACTGAAGAAATTTCATCTGTACTGAACACATGCAGACCTTATTTCCTTATCACTATTCTTTACACAATACAGTATACCAGTTACACAGTATTCACATTGCAATTAGGTATTGCAAGTCATGTAGAAATGACTTAAAGTATATGAGAGAATATGCATAGACTGTGTGCAAATACCACACCATTTTCTATAAGGGACACGGGCATATATTACTGTATCTGCGTAGTGTCCTGTAGCCATTTTCCCATGGGTACCAAAAGACAGCTGAATAGTGAACTATTTTCAGTAATAATAGTTAGTGGTAGTGTTCTCACTGTTCTAAGAGACCGTAACTGTCTCTTGTGGTTATGGAGTAAAAATGAGCCATTAATTTCTTTGCTCTTGTTGGAAACTGATTTTCAACATGAGCTAAAGGGGAAATAGAGGTAAAGTGGATAAGTGAAAACCTCCAGTTCTGAATTGAAATTGGATGAACTCATGATACAGTTTAAGAAAATTTGGGCTGGGGTAGAGCACTTGCTTAGCTGGCATCACAGAAGAAGAGGAAGGGGAAGATGAGAAGAAAGAAGAAGAAGAGGGGAAAGAAGGGGAGGAGGAAAAATAAGGAAAAGACAAAGAGAAGGAGGAGGAGAATAAAGAAGGAGGAAGCAGCAGCAGCTCATATTGTCCAGTTCTGGCCACTGAAGAGGCCAACAAACATGAGCAACCAAGGACCCAGTGAGGTCTCTAAGTACTAAAAGGAACCAGGCCTGGTCACAGAAATGGCTGATCCAGAGCTGGGGCAGGATGCACGCCTGGAACATAGGACACAAGAGAATTAAGGAGCCTCTTAGAGACTCCTGAGGCATCTGACAGGGACACAGGAGCCAACCTGGCCCTGCCGAGAGGCTGGGATGGACCCTGCTCACCCACCTGGGTGTTTTCTTTACCTTTTCAGTCTTGTCCACGTACACAGGATATGGGAGAGACTTCTGCTCAGGTTCAGAAAGCTCATTCCCAGCAGGAAAAGAGAGGCCTCTGTCTGCGACCGCGAGCGTTCTTGAAAATGCCCCAGCAGTCAGAAGAAGGGACAAGTTCCCTGGGAGGGAGGAGGGCTTCTGGCCAGGGACACAGGGCAGAGAGAGTGAAGACTAGGATGGAGTGGAACCTGAGATTTATTGGACAATGGAGGAAAGGAGGTGACAGGAGGACAGGAGGATGAGCAGGTAAACACAAATGCCTATGACCAAATTCTGCTCAGAGGAATAATATCATTCTTTGTTTTTCTGTATTTTTAGTTTTTTTTAACTAAAAACTATTTGAAATATACTAATTTTATTTTTTCAATGCACTGAAAAAAGCAGAGATATAGAACGTTGAAAAGTTTTTGTTTGTGTGGTTTTTTTTAGTGGTACTGTACTGGGATTTGAACTCAGGGCCTTGCGCTTGCTAGACAAGGCACTTTACCACTTGAGCCACTCTGCCAACCCTTTTTTTCACCCATTTTCATCACCTGCAACCACATGTTACCAGTCAGGGGTGGTGAAGGTTTCCAAGGGCCAGCTTTCCTCAATGATGGCTCACTAGTTCTCAGAGCACCCGTGCTGGGGGCATGTTTTGAGTCCCCACGCCAGTCTATTGTGAAATTCTGTCATCTTGTCTTTAACCTTGACCTGTCTCCTTGGCCTTGAGGGCTTCCGGTGTTCCTGGGATGAGCAGGATCTGGTGATGAGAGAGTGATCTTGGTGGAGGTGCCTCCCCATCATGCTGGAGGAGCTATCTTGACCCTCAGAGGTCACAGAAGGAAAAGAGACTTTTCCCTCTCCTGGCAGGCAGAATCCAGCTTTGCCCAATACCATGGAGAATGGTCCTTGAGTTCTCAGAACACAGCAAGACATGACCCTGATTTCCAGGGGCAACCAAGGTGTCAGTTGATGTCCTCCTCCAAGGCCATTGCACCAGGCCTTGGGGAGGGAAGTCGCCCTGGCCACCAGGAGCTGACCACATGTTACTGACCATAGGAATTACACGGTGGTGAACACGGAGAAGGGCCTTCTGGAAGTCCAGAGGATGACATGTGCAGGGATGAAGCTGAGCTGTCAACTCAAGGTCCAGAACTGGCTATGGACAGCCACTGAGGTAACTGCCACCTGCAAGGCTCTTATCAGGGTGGGCTTGATCGAGGAGTGGCCTCCAGGGGAACCAAATTTGTAAAACTACAGGGCGTCCAATTCAACTTGCTCTTATGTAACCACAAGCACATTCCAGGGCAATCCCTAGAGCAGTGCCATCAGCCCTGTGGGCAACGGCAGGTCACTGGGGAGCTTGGTCCCACCCACTGATGGCCCTGGCTTGCCACTGGCTGGTGGCTGGGATTCGGGACTTTGAGTAATAGCAGGTGGAAACTCTCAACAGGAGGTGAAATCCAGTGGTCAGTGGCACACTTGGATTTCCAGTGGCACTCTGGGTCCACACAGCTCATCCTCTAGGCTCTGAAGACCTTTTGCTTTCACATTAGAGAAGTCACTGGAAGGCCCAAGGAGCTAGCTTCTTCTTTTTTTTGGCAATACTGGGGCTTGAACTCAGGGCCTCAGTCTTGCTAGGCAGGTGCTCTACCACTTGGTCCACTCCACCAGCCCAGGAGCTGTCTTCTGAAAAATCCAAACAGGAATGCCCAAAAATCAAATGCTCTGTTTTTTGAGTAGGGGAGAGATTGGCTCAAGCTTTCTACATGACAGTTAGGAAGCAGGGCTCAACCATGGCCCAGAAATCTCAAAAATATTCATGCCATTTAAGCATCAGTGATTTTTAACTTTAAGAATTTTTTTTTTTTAAAAATGACCAACACACAAATACTCATCACAGTATAATTCACAGAACTGAAAACTTAGAGATAGGCTGAACTTCCAGCAACAGACTCAGGATTGTGAGACCCCTGAGTAGCAGATACACATAAGCAACCAACCAGAAAGCTTCCATCCGTGTTTCTTTTTTTGTTGTTTATTTGTAGTCCTGGGTGTTGAACTCAGAGCCTCCTCCTTGCTAGGCAAGTACTCTACCACTTGAGCCACACCCCCAATCCTTTTGCTTTTAGTTTTGTTTTTGAGATAGCGTTTCATGCTCCCTTTTCCTAGACAGGCCTCAGACCATATTCCTCCTACCTTCTCCTCCCCAATAGCTGGGATTACAGGCATGCCATGTCACACCTGGCATGTTACTCTTGAAGGAGCACATGCACCGTGGTAGGAAATGCCAGCCATGTTATACCTCATCTTGCAATGGGCTCATCTATCTCTGCAGGACCAGAAAATCTACATCTATAACCTCAAGGGCATGTGCCCCTTGAACATGCCTCAGCGGGCGTTGGACACTCCAGCCATCGTCACTTGCTTCTTAGCAGTGCCTGTTATCAAAAAGGTAAGGTAGAAGGATGGTCTTCGCTTCCCTTCCCTGTTTGGGCGGGCCTCCTAGTTGTGTGGTTCTGGAGACAACCGAGCCACACCCTCTTGGACCACCTAGCCAGGTCACAGCTGGCCTTAGAGACACGGGTGACCCTCAGCATGGAATTCCCTACTGTACATGAGCAAACACCGCAATCCCTGACTCAGAGGGAACGTGTATTGGAGCAGTGCATGCAGACACTTCTCCTCCCGATAACAGTGGCACCAGGAGCCTCTTCCCCACCAGCTGGGGGCCAGTGCCTACCCTGGCCACCCAGTCACCAGTTCCTGGTGTGTCCTGTTCCTGACCTGTAGGGCAGTTGGCTCTCCTCCCTGTCTCTACCTCCTCTCAAGAGCCCAGTGTCTGTCCCAAACCTCAGTCCTTCTTTGTCCAGCATGGCCCAGCAGACACATTTCATCCCTTGGCTCTGGCACACAGTGATCTACCCAGCCAAGCCTTACCACACCTTGGGATTGAACCCAGCCTCTGCAGAGTTGGCACAGCTGTCTCCTGAGCCCCTCCCTCATCTCTCTGGGGCCTTGCCAACCCAGCCTCCACCAGGGACAGTCCCCCATGCATGAATCAGTTCTGAGATCGAGGCTATGATGGTTCCTCTGAGAAACCCCTAGTACGTGGGGGCAGAGGCCTCTTTCCCAGGCTCTGTCACCCTGCCCAGATCCAGGCACTGCTCAGGCAGTCGTGGCTTTGCCCACCTGAGGGGCCTGTTTCAGCAGAAGCCACACTCAGTGTGTGTTCTCGGGCTGCTTTTTGCAATGTGTTGACCGCTACCATCCCACTCCTGCTTGCCCATCTGTAAGATGGGGACAATAAGAGACCATGAGCTAGATCTCTGGGCCTAACATACCCAGAGGTCTAGGCTGGTGCATTTGGAAATTGCATGTGTAATCAGACCCTTGATGGTCACAAAACACATGAGCTCTTCTCTCCACTGTGCTCTGGTTTCATTTCCTTAAAACACACACACGCACACAAAATAGTTATGAACTGAACCGTACAGTCCTTTATGACTGCAGCTGCCTAGGTGGGGAGGAATCAGCCCGCACCCGTGTGCAGGAGAGCAGGACACAAAGCCTTATTGAGGGGCATCCCATCACCGGCCAGAGCCCAAGCCAGGGCGCCACCTCCCGCACGACCAGGGGGAATAAAGCCGGCTCTGTGCAGAGCCTCCTGCATGGGGTGCCTGCCCCCTTGGAGGAGGCCGTCCTGCCCGCAGCCGTGCAGGGCAGACCCCTGCATTTTTGCACGTGCACACTCACACCCAGCCAGGACGTAGCGTTCACCACGCTGGCCAGGCTGAGCCTGGACTCCAGATAGAGACTTTCAGCCTGTTGCCTTGGATGTGTTCTTTCCCTAAAATCCTGGAGATGCATTTTGACAAACCTTCTTAGAGCTTACGCCCTAGCTGTTGAGCTAATGGCCAGTTACTCAGTTTTCCTGGATAACCCAAGCCCCCCTGCAACTTCCCCAGGATCCTGACAGGTGGCTTTCTGCCACTCACCCTCGCTAGCTTTCTGCCGCTCACCCTCGCTGACCTGAGGCTTGTACCCCACTCTGTCCTGACTCTGGCTTTGTTCTGCAGAGCTGTTCCCATCGCCCTCTGCTCTGCAGATGCCCCAGGGAAGTCTGGGGTGAGCCCAACATGTGGCACTGTCCCTGCAACTTTTGCCTCTGCTCAGTGACTTCTGGTGGTAGCTATAAGCAGCGGGCCATCCCATGGACACCATCAATGTCAGCCTTCCAGAATAGGTGTCGTGAGTTGGGAACATGGCACACAGGCCAAGACGTGCCTGCAGGACAGGGTTGAGGTGAAAGAGATTCAGCAAGCTCAAATGGTCTACTTGAGGCAGAAAAGCCACATGGAATCCCAGGACCACAGAGATGAGCCTTTCCTTGTGCGAGGCCAGTGCCACAAGGACAGTGTTAGACACAGGGACCTGGCCTGTGCTTTCACAGAGCATGCCACCTAGGGTGGGCAGTGAGCAGACTCCACGATGCCTACTACTCCTGTCATCTTAATAACAGTGTCCCCAGTGTCACCTTAATAGGCAGCTCCCTGCTGCTCAGTCCAGCAGAGGCAGGGCGTGTGAACCAGGTGATCGTGTCCTCACTTGAGGCTGTGAGCAGTACACAGTACAGGGGTTCCCTGGCACACCCCTTGCCTTGCAGCAGGGAGGGTGGTGATGCTGCACCTCCCCTGGGCACTGGCCTAGAAGCTCCAGCTGGCAGTGCCAACTGTGTAAGGGCTGGTTAAATGGAATCGCATCCAGGGCATGGCAGAGGTGAAGATGGCACCTATTGTTTCTCTCCTGGAATGTGTGACTACAAAGGGCATCAGGTGTTCCTGTCTCTCCCTTGACAGAACTCCTTCCTGGTGCTGGCAGGCCTGGCTGATGGACTCATGGCAGTGTTTCCTGTGGTGCGGGGTGCCCCGAATGACAACTGCTCCTACCTGTGCTCGCACACAGCCAACAGGTCCAAGTTCCACATCCCGGATGAAGATGCACGGCAGAACCCCTACCCAGTGAAGGCCATGGAGGTGGTCAACAGCGGCTCTGAGGTCTGGTACAGCAACGGGCCTGGTCTCCTTGTCATCAACTGCACGACTCTAGACATCAGCAGGCGTCTGGAGCCCTACGTGGCCCCTTCGGTGGTCACGTCAGTCGTGTGCAGCTCGGACTGCAGGGGCGAGGAGGTCGTCTGGTGCCTGGATGATAAGGCCAACTCCTTGGTGATGTACCATTCGGACACCTATCAACTGTGTGCCCGGTACTTCTGTGGGGACCCCAGTCCCCTCAGGGACATGTTTCCCGTACAGTATGCAGGCCCAGAATCCCCAGGCAGCCTTGTAACCAGCCCGAGGGAGCCTGAGGGGGACTCCATCACAGATGTGAGCATCATGTTTAGCAAGGAGCTGGGTACACAGATCTTGACACACCAGGACTCACTGACTGACTACTGCTCCATGTCCTCTTACTCCTCGTCCCCTCCCCGCCGGACCACCAGCCTCCCAAGCTCCCCGGCCAGCTGTTCCAGTGTGCCTTTCTCTACCGACTACGAGGACTCAGACAGACTGCAGGAGCCTGGTGCTGCCTCCGAAAGGTCTGAGCACGACCTGACCCCTATGGACGGGGAGACATTCAGCCATCACCTACAGGCTGTGAAGATCCTCCCTGTCAGAGACCTCATCTGGGTCCCCAGGTAAGTTTCCTAGTGTATCCAGGGTCATCCTGGGCTGTCCACTGCTCTTGCTTTGGGAGCAGGGCAAGTGGAACCCTAGGCTTCCCTGAAGACCACATCTAAAACCATCTGGATAGATCTGTGTTCCCTCAATGTTGGAATCAGGAAAGAATGGCCACAGGGAAGGTCATTTGTCTACCAGAGAGCTTAATGTGCCACAAAGGGACTATCATGCTCAGCTGCTACCAGACTTCCAACTGGGAAGGTTCCTTTCTGCCTCCCAGGCTCTGCCGTTCTCTAACCTAGTCTTTACTGGAACCTGCATGTTGTGACCTACCAACTGTGCCTTTCTGCATGCTGGCTCCATCCCCTGGAGAACATGGCTGGCGACGAACAAAACTCTTCCCTTTCTTGGTTTTGGTTTCTTAGGCGAGGTGGTGATGTCATTGTCATTGGCCTGGAGAAGGATTCAGGGGCCCAACGGGGCCGAGTCATTGCTGTCTTAAAAGCCCGAGAGATGACTCCACATGGGTAAGACTGAGGGAGCTGTTCCCATGGGGCCCAAGGAAGAGCCTGGGGCCCCTCAGACCCCACCTCCAGCGACAGCCCACTACCCCTTGTGTCCTCACAAATAAACCTCAGCACTGGGCGCCAGTGGCTTACACCTGTAATCCTAGCTACTCAGGAGACAAAGATCAGGAGGATCACAGTTCGAAGCCAACCCAGGCAAATAATTCGCAAGACCCCATCTCAAAAAAACCTATCACAAAAATAGGGCTGGTGGAGTGGCTCAAGGTGTAGGCCCTGAGTTCAAACCCCAGTACCGCAAAAATAAATAAATAAATAAATAAATAAAACATCAGGAGCCACCAGGGTGGCCACAAGGCAACACAGGAACAAGGTGGGGTCCTCCAAGCAGGTCCTGGGGGCTCGACAAATACCAGCTGAATTGGGGATCAGTTACTAGCTAGGATGCCTATTTACAGGGTGCCCTTCCACGGGTGTATCCCCACGGCAGAGTTCGGTTGCAGCCTCCAGGTGAGTGTCCTCTTTGCCGAGCAGGAGAGCCCCACTGGAGTGACCCATCTGCCCGGACAGCACCAAGTAGGCCAGATAACATGGTCACACTGCGCTCCTGGCCTTCTCCACACCTGGAGGGGTGGGTCTATGGGTGGGTATCAAATGCATGCCAGTCTCCTCTGGGAGGATGACTGGGTAGGACAGCCTGTCCAGGGCGCAGTCTACATAACCAGGGAGATCCCAGCCTAGTTCTGCACCCCACTTCCCAGCAATCTTCACTTCCTCACTTTGACTCTTGAGCTCCATGTGGTTGACCAACTCATGGAAAGGCCCTCAATTCAAGTGTGTGTACGTGTGTGTTACGTACTTTGGAGCACTTCCACTTCACACTAGACCTCTTTGTCTACATTGTAAGCTATCACCTACCAACCTGGGACGAGGAGTTTTATCCTATCAGGAGCACACGGGGGTGCAAAAATCCCACTCAGCCTGTGCCCACCAGAGCAGCAAGACAGCTAAGGAGATGCCCATGGCACCTCCCCTTTGCCTGCCAGCACTGAGTTTTCTCAGTGACCCTTGCTCTGCAAGTGGTTCTAGAAACAAGATCAGGGTTGGCTCCCAAGCCCCAGCTGAGTTCATGGATGGCACCTTGAGCTGAAGTCGTCCCCAGCTTCCAGAAGCAAGTGGGTCTGCAGAACCCATGACCTTGGTATACTTCCCATGAGTGTCCCTTAATTTTTACCTGGTGTCACCTTTCCTAGTCATCCCCCAAACCCAGGTCTTACCAAGAGTCAGGCCCACTCACTGCAAGAAGAAAGACCTCTCATGGCCAACTGAAAGATGGACATAGCCATGAGAGATAGGGAGGTCTCTGGATGTCCTGGTCACAGCATAGTCTCAGTGCCAGCAGGGCACGTGCGCTGGGCATAGAGGAGGTGTGCAGATAGTCTGTGCCTGAAGGTGGGTCACCAGCCCCATGGAGACACCACCAGGGCAACGAGACCACAGGGAATCATCCACTGTGACCTGAATGAAAACTCGTAGTTCAACCACAGAGCATGCAAAACAGTCCATAGCCTCAAAAAAATATATAGGTAGTTATGGCTTGGCACAGCAGATTTTCTGCCTAATGTTTTACCCCCTCCCCCCCCGCCCTCTGTTTCCTAACGTGTGGGAACGAATAGGAGAAGAATCACACTGACCTTGTAGCAAGGGAGCTGCCAAGTGTAAACTTGGTCATGACCCTGCATGTGTTCAGGAATTCTGAACACTTCAGGGTCTGAAAGGAGTCACGTAATACACCTGCTCTGGTCACATCTGTGACCTTCCAGAAGTCAGTCCCTTACAGACAATGCCCAGAAACCTAAATTGCTGCCTCCCACTCTTCATGACACTTTAGAGAGACTCAGCCCCCAGGCTGGACCACCAGGGAGAAGCTGGGCACCTGAGCATGTCCCAGAGCCAGGCTAGGACACACCAAGCTCCTTAGCCAGCTCTGTCCTGCCCAAGGTTATGCAGGCTGAGGGGCCCAGACCTGACCAAGCGGGGACTCCTGTGGGTTTTCTCAGAACCCCCTCTCTCTGCAGGGTGCTGGCGGACGCAGCAGTGGTGGCAAAGGACACAGTAGTGTGTGGCTTTGAAAATGAAAACACAGAGTGGTGCCTGGCTGTCTGGAGGGGCTGGGGCGCCAGGGAGTTTGACATTTTCTACCAGTCCTACGAGGAGCTGGGCCGGCTGGAGGCTTGCACACGCAAGAGAAGGTAATTGCTACAGAAGGGCCTTGGGCAGAGCTGGCTGGCCCGGGACTGCCACCTGGCCCCTCTGCTGCAGCCCTCAAAGGACCCGGGAAGATGAATGGAGTTCTCATCTGCTGCTAAGAAGCACTGGGAAGTTACCTGCTTGGGCGGTGGTTTGGGAATTCTCAGGTTCTGCAGGGCAGAGTTACCTAAGTACCCCGCCCCCCCCACCCCATGCTGGTTTTACAACTCCAGGGAAGATAGCAGGGTCTGGTGGAGACAGGCCTCCTCTTGTCTCCTCCATGGGCTCCAGGAACAGGGGATCGAGGACCCCTCTGGGCCTCCCTGGCATAATGGACCTTCCCATTTTCAACTCTGGGTCTCAGATGGAATTACACTAAAGACTCTCAGTTGAGGAGCAGTTCAGGGCAGGGTGGGAGGAGGGCTGTGCCCTCTGTACCTTCCCCCCTCCCAGAGACCCCAGGCTCTCAGCCCATTTCACAAGCCCCCAAGTCCCTGGAGTGTGGGGCCCAGCTTGGGCAAGCCGAGATCAGATGTCTCTGGCTCGGCAAAGGGTCTGTGTGAGAAACCCCCAGAAGAACCCTGAGCGAGGAGTGTCACCCAGTCAGGGGAATGAATGGGTTTCTTTAAGAGCCACAGCGGAAAGGCCAGTGCAAGAAGCACCCGCTGCTTTTATAGTCGTCTTCTTCAACTAAAGGAAGGAGAAACCCAATCAGAGGGCTAGAGAAAGGGCCTGTGTTTATAGCTCGGTAAAATAAACGTGGACACAGCTGGAGCCAAGGTCTGTTTGTTTGCACATAAAAATCTTGTTTATCACTTTATCAAATTAAGTAATATCTCAGCGGTTAGGCCTCTGGTTGGGAAATCCTATCGTATGGGGCTTAAACTGAATTATGGATTTGCTAAATATTTTCTGTGCACACGGACAGCTGAGTATGAAAAGTGAAGTTGTTACCAGAGGCTGTATGGGGTACAACGATGAGCGGTTTTTTATAAATTATACATGTCTGCATCTTTGCCAAGAGTCACCGTTTGAGGCTGCTTAGCTCGGAACACAAGTTTAAACGTGAACTCTCCCGCCAGCTCACGTTGTTGGGCCTTGTCTGAAATTAAATTATAAAAACCAAATGTAAAATTCTTCAGTGGAGGGTGCAAGCAGATGTGAGTTCTTCTATCTGAAAATAAACAGATCCCCAAGAATAAAGGTGTGGCCTCTGTCTGTTGAGGGCTTGTGACATTGTAGGTTTGGCCCTGGACCCAGATCCGCTCACTGCCCAGGGTGGGCAGGGTTGGCCCCCCTCAACCCCGCTGCTGCCAGCCTGTAAGTTGCCCTGCAGCAGTTCCTATGGGCCAAGATAGCTGCTCTGTCAGTCACAGGCCCAGGGGAGCAGACTTGCCCACTTCCTTTTCTGAGCCTGGGCCCTGAGTCCTGGGTGACCGAGGATCTGTGCCTCCTGTCCCCTTCCTGGCATTTCTCCCACCCTGGTCTTCCCAGGGCCTTAGGGATCCCCTCTCTCCCTCTCCTCTCATTCTGATGCCTAGTTCGCCTCCCAAATGCAAACCAGGTCCTGACCCCTGTCCCCAAAGCCTGTGCCTTGTGTCACCTGCAGCCACATTGCTTTGACCCAGACTTCCTCTCCTTCCCCACCTCGCCTCCTCCTTCCCACAAGGCCAGCCCTGACCCCACCCAGGCCTCTGAGAGGAAGGCCTCACAGAACAAGGTGAGGGACCATTTCACACCACAGTTGGAAACCATGCAGTAACTGGCTAATGAACTTGACTACGTAAAAATTAGAATCCTACATGGAAAAAGTACTGAAAGTCTAAAAATGAATGATCAACTGGGAAAAATGATTTTTAATTGAAATATTTGTCATTCTGCTTATCTGATTTCTTAAAATTTTATCTACATATAATAGTTGTGCAGGGAGAAACTGTGATATTTACATATGTGCTTACAATATATCTCAGATTTACCTCCTCCAGTGTTCTCCCTCTTCCCTCTTCCCCCTTCCCCCCCTTCTTAGGACAATTTTAACAGGTTTCATTCTTCTATTTTCATATATGGATACAAATATGTCCACCATATTCCCCCTTTCTTTATGTCCACCCACCTCCCTCTGGTGCCCACCTCCAGAAAAGATTTATTTTTCACTCCCGCCCCTCTTTTTTTTAAGTGTATATTGATGGTCCAAGTACCAAGGGGGTTTCACCTTGGTACTTCAATCCTGTATATATCATGCTTTAATCAAATTAACACACACTCTGTTACTTATTCTCCATCCCTATGCCCCCCTAAAATTCAACAGTTTACAGCACTTGCAACAGAAGTGAGAGAGGGGATTAGCTCACTTATGCTGTATGCAGAATGTGAACCCGCCAATAAGAAAGAGAAGCCCCAATAAGGAAATGAGCATGAAGGTAACTGAGTGACAAAGAAACCCAGTCAAGTCCCTAAACATCAATGCTCAGCCACATCCAACAGGAAACAGTCACAAAAGCAGCAATAAAATGGTGTTTACTACCCTGTGTTGCAAAGATTAAAGGACCAGCAATTATCAGGCACTGTCACCAGTACACAGTGATAATCTCACAGACAAGATTCTTTTCTGTTTCCTTTACCTCAGAGAACTGAAAATGTGTATTCACACACACACACACACACACACACACACACACACATCCTGTATATGCACACAAAAATCCGGTAAAAATCCTGCATGTTCACAAAAAAATTCCTATAAAATCCAATTTCCTCATTCATAGCAGCTTCATTTGTAGCCATCAAAAGCGAAAACAACTCAAATGTGCTAAGATGGGTGAATGATTCGATGTACATATGACAGAATGCTATTCCCACATTAAAAAGAATGAACATTGAGAAAAACATCTCTGTTTCGGGCTGAGGGTGTGGCATAAGTGTAGAGCACTTGCCTAGCACACTAGAGCCTGGGTTCAATCCCCAGTACTGAAAGAAAGAGAGGAGAGAGAGAGAGAGAGAATCTCTGCTCACAGGCACACCTGTAATCAGGGAGGTGGATCCTAAGTTCAAGGCCAGTCCAGGCAAAAACGGCTGCAAGACCCTGTCTCAAAACCAAAAAAGGGTGGGAGCATAGCTTGCCTAGCATTTGGAAGGCCTGGGTTCAACCCTGGCACAATAAATAACTCAATAAATAAATATAAAACAAAAATCTCTGCTTCTAGGAATTCACTCCTAGTGGGGGAGGGGGAAATGGATTCACACATGAAATAAAAGCTTCTAGAGAACAATGAGAGAGCACCAGTAATATAAAACATAAGCTGTAAATGTGGAGGATATAAGGATGTATATCGAAAGCTGCTGAAAAATGGGGGGGGGGAGGTAAAGGGGAAGGGAGAGCAATGGGAGGGTCAAACAGACCAAAGTAAGGTACACCCACAGCGGGGATACACTGAGAAACCCCTTTGAACGTCAGCTTAAATATTAATAATGAAAGACAGGACTGTAAAATAGGTCCAGTGTATATGGTTGGGGGAGGGATTGTGGATGGAGGGAGGGGAATGAAGGAGAGTAAGGTGAGGGTATATGGCGAATGGACTTCATATAAAAAATCAAAGAAACCTCTTGCAATTACTTTAAATGGGGCAGGAAGGGGGTGGAGGGAGAGAGATGATGGGGGTGATCTGACCAATGTACAGTATAAACCTATTCAGAAACGTCCCGATGAATCCCCCTTGTATAACAAACATATCCTAATAAAAAATACTTTTTAAAAAGCTGCTAGTGAGTAAAGTCAGGATATTTGTAACCAAAGACCAAAGGGGCTGCATTTAACTGGGGCTGGGAATGACCTGCATGGAAAGATACTATTTGAGGAGGAGGCATTTGCATGGAAACCTCAGGACACCTGGTGGAGGGCTGGCATGTGCAAAGGCCCTGTGGTAGAATGACAGCTGGTGTGACTGGCGCATTGTGAAAAGGGGAGTGAGCAGCCCAGGATCCCCCGGCACAGAATTACAGGTATGGGTGTCAGTCACAGCTCCCGGCAGTTTTAAGCAGGTCTATTAGTCAAACCACTTTGCTAAGTGGAGGACAGGCCGAAAAGAGAAAGTAGTCTACCGGCTCCACGTAAGTGTTTGATGCTGAAATATTTGTTGAAGTGTTTGTCAGAGTATGGCTCAGAATGGCCCCAAACAGGAAACAACCCAAGCCTGTCTTGGGAGGAAGCCATAAAGTCCCTGTACGTGATAGTCCTGTGATCCTACCCAGCCTTTTAACTGCGCTGGTCTGAACTGCTCTCCGAGGTATAATAAACGTATTGTTTTTTAAAAAGCCATTCGCAGTGCAGCGTGTGTTGTTAAAGTTTGCATAACAATATGGTCGAGCTGTGTGTGTGTGTGTGTAGACTGTCCCAAAGGATGCACAAGAAGCTGGTAGGCACGGGTTGCCTCTGGGGATTGAGGGCTGGCACTGAGCCAGGCCCCTTCATGTTACTCTACACCTTCTTTCCTGTGCTCTGAGTTGTATGCACACCTGGTTTTTGGCTGTGATCTGGGATGAAAGGGATTTCCCCTCTAGACTCTGGAAGGATGTGCCTTGGAGTTGTTCTCCAGAGGTAACAGGAAGTCCTGTCCCCTCTCCTTGTGGAGGAGGTTATCAGGTCCCAGGTAAAGGCCAACCCCTCTAGCAATCCACGGTTGAGGTTAAGTTGTGATCACCTGGCTACCTTTGAGATGCAGAGACCCAGATGAGGGAGACCTGCACAGGAGGAAGACAGGTGTGACAGGTAAGGCAGGTCAGCTAGGGTCAATTGGCTATACCCTGGGGCACCCTTGTGCTTGCATTGGGAAACTGTGCAGTCCAGGTGTAGAGTCAACACCTCCTTTGCCCAGCAGACAACACCCGGGCCTCCTCCCACCCACCGTCTGCCCCACACCTGGGAGAGCTGTGGCCTTTCTGACACCTGCTCACTGGCTGGGCTGCCACCACATCCCCAGGCCACTGATTACTCAGAACTGCAAGGTCTTTGCAATGACTTGCCTGAGACACACAGCTGACCTCCTCTCTGAGCTCCTGCGTGAGCCTCCAGGGCTGGAGAGGATGCTGCTGTTCGTGTCCTTCAGCAGGCAGAAAGTTGGAGCCTCAGAGGCCCCATGGTGACACAAAAATTCCCCAAAGTTCAGAGAAAACCACAAGTGCAAAACACTCCAGACACAAGCAGGCTGCTTCCAAAAAGTCAGGCCCTCAACTCTCCGCACATCTCAGCGCCAGTCTGTATTCCCATTCAAAGCAGAAACCAGCAGTCTGGCAGGAAATAGTGTGACCATGCATAAGCTGTAATAGCTGTCCCCATGCTCTCAGTGACAGGCCCCAGTCGTTCTGGTGCATCATTTCCCAGCAGCCTTTGCGGTGGGGGTGGTCCTGAGGCTGGCTCCATCCATAGAGGCTACGTGGTTGTGGTCATGTAAGGCATCAAGCAATGTTGCAAAAGGGGTCAAGAGCTCTTTTGGCCCTGCCCCCTGCCTCTTCCTTGCAGGAGCAAGAGAACAAGTGCTCCTCCCTGGGGCGCTGGGAGACCTGGGAAGGTAATGGGAGGTAGTCCTCCCACGAACCCTGGCTGCCAACCTCCAGGCTTCTGATAACATCATAGAAAGAAATGAAAACCACTTTCTTATTTAAGCCCATAGTTTTCAACAACCAAAGCCTACAGCCAAATGCAATTCCTAAATGTTCAGATACATTTTCCATTTGCCCAAGCCGAGCACTGGATGTTAGCAGGAGAGCTGGCCCTGGCAAACGTTCAGTCAAGTTCAGAGAAAGGACTAGAGCAAGGATGGAAAGGAACCAGCGTAGCTGGCTGAGCTCCAGAGCTTCCTCCTCCAGGGAGGCAGGAATAGCCAGTCCTCCAAGCCAACAAGTCATCATTTCATACCAAACCATACTTGCAAGGGGTTTAGGGGTGTCAACTTGTCACCAAAAGCCCAAACAGTCCTCCACCCTGGGCAAGTTGCTAGTTTCTTATCCGTGAAAGAGCAGTGACTGTTCTTACTCTATTAGGATCAGCTCAGAATCAGGAGCTACCATGTATACTTCAGCCCTGCTTCAGCAACCAACCCGAGGCCAAGACCCACTCCCTAACCCCACTGTGACACCTCTTTCCCTGCCTGGGAAAGACACCGGAGGAACAAGGTCTTCTCTGGAAACTGCTTA